AGCAGGCCCTGGACAGGATCCTGCAAGAGTGGAAGGCGCTCTGGCACAAGGAGGGCTCCTCCAGCGCCCGCCCAGAGAACTGGGACGAACCCTTGGAGCTGGACGCCATCACGGCGGAGGAGGTGCTGGCAGCGGCGAAGACCTTTCCCAGGAAGACGGCTCTGGGATGGGACGCATTCCACCCCAGGCTCATCCTCAGCTTAGGCAGGGTGTACGCCGACAGGCTGGCCGAGATCTTGACAGCCTGGGAACGGCACCCTCAGCCGTCGGAGCTTTTCACCACGATCATTGTCTCCCCGGGGAAGCCCGGCGGGGGCCGACGCCCGATCGGTCTCCTCTGCATGTGGCTGCGCATCTGGAGCCGTATCAGGCGCAAGTACTGCGCGGACTGGGAGAAGGACCACAAGCTCCCCGAATATTGGGGGGCAGACACGGACACCTGCTGTGACAGGGCGGCCTACATCCAGAACCTTCTGCTCGGCCTAGCGCGAGAGAAGAACTTCGAAGCTGCATCGGTCTACTTCGACATCAGCAAGTTCTACGAGCAGATCAGCCACGGGCTGCTACTCGAAGCGGCACGGGGCTGTGAGTCCAACACTGGGTTGATACAGGCGCTGTGCGTGCTGTATTCGGGCCATCGCAGGGCCAGGGCTGACCTTGCCCTCAGCGAGCAGCTGGTCATAGACGACACCGTCATTGCTGGCTGCTCCTGTGCGACGACCATGGCGAGGATCATGCTATGCGACCTCCTGCTGCAGTCGAGGAAGCTGCTGCCGATAGGCAGGGGGGTCAACGTGATTGACGACATCTCGGGCCACGGCATTGGCACGCGCAGGCTCGTCGTCGAGCAGATCGCCAGGTTCGCGAAGGGCGTTGCCACCATGCTGGGTGACAAGCGGCTCCCCATCAACTGGGGAAAGACCAAGGCACTGGCTTCCTCAGCGAAGCTGAGGAGAGAGCTGCAGCAGCACGCCGACTGGGTCCTCGCAGACGAAGCTTTCGTCGCTGGCCACCGTGGCCTCGGAGGCGATGCGACAGCGGGCAGTCACCGCAGGGTCGGGACGCAGGTGGCCAGGGAGCTGGCGGCGCTGCGGCAGGGCAACAACCTCACCAGGATCTTCGGCTCGGGGATGAGGCAGGCCAGGATCCATAGGGCAGGCCCCACTGCCAAGGCCCTGTGGGGCTCGGCCATCAGCGGGATCCCGCCTGGGCACATGAGGGCGCTCAGGATAGCTGCGGCGAAAGCCGCCTGCAACCTGCCGACGGGCGCCGCGCTGACCTTCTGCCTGCAGTGCGCGCCCCAGGGCTGGAGGCAGGATCCGCTGGTAATTGCGACGGGCATGGCGGTCCAGGCTTTCGTGGCCATGAGCTGGCCTGGCCAGGCCTCTCCTGCGGCAGTGCAGGCCTGCCTCAGGGACAGCAGCCGTCTGGCCTCGCTGCAGAGGCCGTGGGCCGCGGTGCGCGACCCCGTCTCGGCGCTGGTGCTCACGCTAGGGCGGGTCGGCTGGGGCCCCAGAGCAGGCGGTCGCATCCTGACCGACAGGGGGTGCAGCGAGTTTGATGTCAAGAGGTTCTCGCCCGCCTTCCTCGCCGCCAGGGTCAAGGAGGACACGCGGCAGGCGGCTTCGCTCGAGGAGTACGCCAGCAGGCCCGAGACCTTCTGGCAGTGGGGGCTGCCGCCGTGGTGGACGCCGATCAACCAGCTCCTCGGGGCCAAAGAGTCGGAAACCTGGACGGCCCACCACAAAGGCTGCCTGGGACGATTGGCGTCGCTGGCCAGCTGGCCCCAGGCCCGACTGGCGATGCATGGGCGTGAGATCGACCCGCTCTGCAAGCTCTGCGGCGCCGCCCCTGGGACGATGCACCACAGACACCATGTGTGCCCAGCTTGGGCGGCCTGGAGGCGGGACTATTGCCCATGCCAGGTGAGTCAGGCAGCGGTGCAGGCCCACCGCATGGCCCCCCCCTTCGACGAGCTCTTCAGTCATGGGCTCTTCGCCGACATCAGCCTTCTGGTGGCCAGACCAGCCTGGGATGACAGCTGGGCGCGGCGATCCTGCGGGTGGGGGGCGGCATCTTGGTGGTACCCGATGGGTCTTTCGTCTTCACCGACGGCTCGTGCCTGAACGGGGATTTCCCGCGCGTCAGGGGCGCGGGTTGGGCGGTCATCGTGCACGGTCCAGAGGGGAGGCTCATCGCCGAGGCGTGGGGCGCAGTGCCCCCCAGCGACCTCCCGTCGCAGACGGCCAAGGCGGGCGAGGACTACGCTGCCGCCATCGGCCTCGCCGACATCATCGGGAACTACACGCTGCTCAGCGACTGCCTGAGCACGGTGAAGGCTGCGTCTAACCTGTCCAAGGCCTGCGGCCCCAGCTCCCTGCACGCCCACGTGTGGGCCAGGGTAGGCGATGCGGCGGAAGGCGTCACCACGCGCCACGTGCCCGCCCACCGCACGGAGGCCGCGGTGCAGGACGGGGATCTCACCCTCTTCGAGCTAGTGGGCAACAGGCGCGCCGACGCCAGGGCAAAGGAAGGGGCGGCATTTCACGCCATCGCGGAGCATGACGCCCTGATGTTGGAGGGCTGCCTGGCTCGGGCGAAGGAGGTGGCCAGGTGCGCGGCGGCCCTCGAGGTGCACATCACCGAGTCGGGGCTCAGAGACTCCTGGCCGCTCACCTCCCTGGACCTAGTGGACCTGGACCCCTACGCTCCGTCGCCCGCCTTGGGGCTGCTGCTGGGGGCCGAGGAGTCGGCTGCCCGGGGCCCTGGCGGAGTGGCGGCCCTGGGGGCGGCAGCAGCGCTGGCGACGGCAGCGGCGGCCAGCCAGGGAGCCCAGTCCCAGGACCAGGCCGACTCGAAGGACCGCAAGAGGAAGGAGGCTGACGAGGGGCCAGTCGGGCCCAGTGAGCCAGTCGCTGACGCGTCGAGCGCGTCGGCGGCCTTGCTTCGTGCGGTCCAGCGCCGCCGCGCAGAGAAGGCGGAGCGGGCGGCGCCCTCGGCCGCGGGCGCACCGTGCCCGCCCATGTCGGCTGTGTCGCAGCCCCCTCCCCCTCTTTCCCCTGCGGCCTCCCCTGCTTCTGCGGCCGCCGCCCCGCCTCCGCGTGCTCTCTCGGGCCCTGCTGGCCGGAGGAGGACCCCAGGGCCCCTTTTGGAGACCCCAGACTCTGGCCAAAGGTCGAGGGTCTCTTTTTCGTGTGGTTCGCGTGCTGGCCCGTCCCAGGACGACCCTGTCGAATCGGGAGTCTGGGAGGTCAACGGCCACCGTCTTCGTGAATCGCGCGTTTCTGGCGGGGACGGCCCTGAGTTTTTGGTGTGTGTGGCGTGCTGGATGTATTGCCTGAAGCCCCAGTACTGCCACAGGGGCCTGGCCAAGGCCTGCAGCGGGGCCCAGCGCGCTGACGACCCCAGGGCCAAAAAGGGCTCAAGGGCGCAGGCGCGAAACGATTTCGCGAAGTCGATCCTGCCTGGGAAATCCAAGCAGCCGATCGACCAACTGGCTCGGCCCACAGCGGCCACCCGTGCCAGGTGGGCCGAGGCGCTAGGCTCGGTCGCGGGCCCTGTGGGCATGGGGGGGCCCGTGGCCCCTGCAGGCTCCAGAGCCCCCGCCGTGGAGCCCCCAGAGATGCGGGATCGGGCACCCGCCCCGCCTGCCCCTGGGAGGTTGTTTCGCCCAGGGCTCGAGGGAGCCCTGGGCTCCTTCGGCTTTGCCAGCGCTGCTGACGCACAGGAGCGAGGCAGGGTCGCCAGGGCGGCCAGGACGGCGGACCCCAGGCCAGTGGTCGGTCTGAGCGCGGAGTGACGGTCGCGCTTCGGGGTCTGGGCCTGGTCGGCTGCGGGCCCGTGCAAGCGCTGTTTGCGGGGCCGTAAGACGGCGTCCGAATTTGTTTGTGCATGATAAGCCCCAGGGTGATAGGATACAAAAAATGCCATCACCGTACATGGGAGGCGCAGAGCTCGCAGCTTAGGCTACCGCCCTTGCTGTGTCTCCCGCCGCCCTCCGCCCGCCCTCCGCCGAGGGAGCCCTCCTGCCTGCGACGTCACCTCTGGAGGCAGGGGAGGAGGAGGAGGAGGAGGAGGAGGAGGAGGAGGAGGAGGAGGAGGAGGAGGAGGAGGAGGAGGAGGAGGAGGAGGAGGAGGAGGAGGAGGAGGAGTAGGAGGAGGAGGAGGAGGAGGAGGAGGAGGAGGAGGAGGGAGGACGGAGGAGGAGGAGGAGGAGGGGGGGGGTAGGGGGAGGGGGAGGGGCGGGGGAGGGGGAGGAGGGGGAGGGGGAGGGGAGGGGAGGGTCGGAGGGGGAAGAGGAGGAGGAGGAGGAGGAGGAAGAGGAGGAGGAGGAGGAGGAGGAGGAGAGGAGGAGGAGGATGGAGGAGGAGGAGGGGAGGAGGAGGAGGAGACGAGGACGAGGAGGCGGAGGAGGAGGAGGAGGAGGAGGAGGCGAGGAGGAGTAGGAGGAGAGAGGAGTAGAGGAGGAGGTCGGAGGCGGGGAGGCGGAGGAGGAGGAGGAGGATGAGGAGGAGGAGGAGGAGGAGGAGGAGGAGGAGGAGCAGGCGGAGGAGGAGACGGAGGAGGAGGAGGAGAGGGGAAGCGGAGAAGGTAGGAGGAGGAGGAAGCGAGCGCGGAGAAGAGGAGGAGGAGGAGTAGGAGGAGGAGGAGGAGGAGGAGGAGGAGGAGGAGGGGGTCCTGTGAAGTCTCTGCGGGCCGAGGCCCTGGGCTGCGTCAGGGCTTGCCAGCCCCCCACACTGGCGAGATTCGCTGGTCGTGCGTCTGACCTTTCGCGGTCACCCCAGTCTTACAGCAGGCACGTCGAACAAGAAGCCGGCCTGCCAGCATGTGCCCCACGGACGTTTCTGATCCCCCGATGGCCCTGGGGGCCCACATAAGCTCTGGCGCACCTTGTGTCCCTCGAACATCGATGGAGAGTATGACCCACGATGTCCGAAACCAAGATCTATTCTCAGACGTGTCTACTGTTGCGTGCTGTGTGAGTTTTTGAGATCTCCAAGGACCCTCTTCTGGGGTACAGTCTGGCGCAGCCAATCGTCCAGGGCATCCAGGGCAACCACGTCCTCGCTGTCGCCAAGCACTGGGTCCTCAACAACCAGGAGAAATCCTCCTCCTCCTCCTCCTCCTCCTCCTCCTCCTCCTCCTCCCCCTCCTTCTCTTCCTTGCTCCTTCTCCTCGCTCCTCCTCCTCGCTCCTGTAGTCGTCGCATGCGGTCGGGAGCTTTGGCCACCGCGCTTGGGCCTCTGGCCTGTCCTGAGATGAGCTCCTCTGCGCCCTCTCCGGGGAGGGCCTCTCTGAAGGCCGGCGGGCTTCTGAGAGGCCCCGCCGCCCTCCGAGGAGGCCTGCCCCCTCTCGGACGCCTGGGGATGCACACACAGCGTCATGGTCCGTCTCTCCCGCTTCGCTTCTGTCCTCCTCGCCTCGCGGCTCCCTCCTCTTCCCGCCTCGGCCACGGCAACAAAAACAGCCACACTTTCTTGTCGCCATGTTCGCCAGCATGCGTCAGACGCCAGGGCAGGATCACGGCGCCTCGAGCAGCGCGGCTGGATGTTGCTGAGGGGGAAAAAAACAACGCAACTCTCCCGTGGCCGTTCGAGACAGATCCGGGCCCCCCCTGGTACGCTCCCAGCGAGGCGCAGCCACTGCAGCGCTTCCTTAGGCCAGAAAACCGCCGAGGACAGACGAGAGGGTCCGAAGGCCTCGAACGTCAAACCCCTCGGCGCGCCGCCGAGTCGCCGCAGGAGACGGACCGATCCTCGGTTGACGCCGTGGTGGATGAGCGCACCCGTCACGAGCTCTACTTCCCGCCGTTCGAGGGCGCGGTGGGTGCGGGCGTGGCTGCCGTCATGTGCTCCTACAACCGGGTGGGCGGAGCATGGAGCTGCGGGAACCAGGAGACCTTGTGATGATGATGATGATGATGATGATGATGATGATGATGATGATGATGATGATGATGATGATGATGATGATGATGATGATGATGATGATGATGATGATGATGAGATGATGATGATGATGATGATGATGATATGATGATGCTGATGCTGCTGCTGATGATGATGATGATGATGCTGCTGCTTGATGATGCTGATCTGATGCTGATGCTGATTGCTGATGCTGCTGCTGCTGATGATGATGATGATGATGATGATGATGATGATGCTGATGATGATGATGATGATGATGATGATGAATGATGATGAGGAGGGAGAGGAGGAGGAGGAGGAGGGAGGAGGAGGGACGAGGAGGAGAAGGAGGAGGAGGAGGAGGAGGAGGAGGAGGAGGAGGAGGAGGAGGAGGGAGGACCTGATCAGATCTGAAATGCTGGGGGCGGTGTCAAGCTTCGACAAAAAAAGCATGCTCGAGAAGATTACGCGAGAAGTTGCTCGTCCCTACGAGGAGGAGGAGGAGGAGGTGGAGGAAGAGGAGGAGGAGGAGGAGGAGGAGGAGGAGGAGAACGAGGGCAAGGATAATAAGGTGAAGGAGTATGAGGAGGGGGATGCTGAGGAGGGGGAGGAGGCGGAGGAGGAGGAGGAGGAGGAGGAGGAGGGAATACTATAGTCTCGCTTGGTGCGTCTCCTCCGCCTCCCCGCTGCCTCTGCCGCTCCCTGCTCCCCCTGTCTTCCGCCCAACCTTCCGGGGGAGTGTCTCGGGATGGCTGCTGGGGGCACGGGGCCTCTCGCAGTCCTGCGTTCTTATCTGCACTGCCATCCGCGTTTGCGTGCGCGGCGGTGGCCCCTCCATGGCGCCTTGCTGCATCTTTGCTTTCTCTGTCCCCTCCCTCCCTCCCCCCCCCCGTCTCGTGTCAATGACAGCTGCGTGTCTGTCTGAAGAGGACACGTTGATCGGCCAGCGCACTTCGGTGGCACATCCGTTACTTTGAAGAAAGTGGTGGCGTTGCCTGCGGTGGTACATGTGGGAGAAGAGGATGAGGAGGATGATTATTACGATGGCGGTGGTGTGATGGTGATGATGCTGCTGCTGATGATGATGTTGATGAGGATGAGGATGAGTCTGAGGATGATGATGATGATGAGGATGAGGATGAGGATGCTGCTGATGATGAAGATGATGATGATGATGATGATGATGATGATGATGATGATGATGATGATGATGATGATTATGATGATGATGCTGATGATGCTGATGCTGATGCTGATGCTGATGCTGATGCTGATGCTGCTGCTGATGATGATGATGAGGAGGAGGAGGAGGACGAGGAGGAGGAGGAGGAAAAGGAGAAGGAGGAGGACAAGGAGTACAAGGAGGAAGAGGAAGATGGCGACAATGGGGGGAGGGGCTTTTTTTGCGTTTTCGAGGCCCCGCGAGGCTTCTGGGGATTCTGGGGACCTCTGGGGGCCTCCTTGCCCGTCCCTTCTTCCTGCTCCACATCCGACTCAGCCTTCTCGTCCTCCTCGTCCTCCCTATCCTCCTGATCTTCCCACCATTCCTCGATCCTCTGTGCAACCACTTCTCGATCCTCGTCCTGGCTTGCCACTTCTTGATCTTCCGCCTGGCCTACCACTCAGTCCTCGAAATTCGAAGATTGATTCGCTCAACGCCTCTGACCCTCTTCCGGCTTCGGAGGCCTCCAGGGATATTTCCGCAGACCTCCGGGGAGAGGAGGGAGGAGGGAGCGGGAGCGAGGAGACCCTGAGGGGCGAGCTCAAGGGGCGCCTGGGCTTCGGCGGGTTCGTGGTCAGTGACTGGGGAGCCACGCACGGAGTGGACAGCGCCCGGGCGGGGCTTGACATGGAGCAACCGGGCGCCAAGTTCATGGGGGAGGCCCTCCTCGCGGAGGCCCGTTCGGGAGGGAGCCATGGGGGACAGGACTGAGATGAAGCGATGGGAGCGAGGATGAGGATCAGGAGGAGGAGGAGGAGGAGGAGGAGGAGGAAGAGGAGGCTTCTGCAAGCCTCTAGGAGCCTTGCGAGGTCCGAGGAATTCCTCGAGAATAGAGGAGTACGAGGAGGAGGAAAACGAGGAGGAGGAGGGGGAGGAGGAGAAGGAGGAAGGGAGGAGGAGGAGGAGGCGGAGGCAGATATAGAGCTGGAGGTAGATAGGCAGAAGGAACGAGCCAAGAGGTTCCTGGAGGAGGGTGAGAATGGGGAGGGTGAGGAGGTTGATTAAGTGGATGCGGAGTTGGAGGAGGAGGAGGAGGAGGAAGAGGAGGAGAAGCCGGAGGAGGAGGAGGCGGAGGCGGGGGGGGGAGGTGGGGGGGGAGGACGAGGAGGAGGAGGAGGACGAGGAGGAGGAGGACCAGTGCAAACCCAAGATGCATCAACGATGTTGCAATCAACCTCCCTCGAAGTTCCCTCGTCATAGGCCTCTACAATCATGTATTTGCATTGCAGGTAGTGCCACATTGGAAAACAATCGTATGATAATATGTAATCGTGCCCAACCGCACTCCCTGGGAGTTTAACTTCGTGAGTCAACGTGAAGTTTGCGCCCAGATAATTCCAAATCGCGCAAAAGAACGCTAGTTCTGGGACTCTAACACCGCGAATAAACGACACCGCTGCGTGTCCATAATCCTAAATCGTACGAGAACACAGCGCCTGCCCATTCCCGCGTTCGTGGCCTCCGGGATTGCGCGCTAGCCACGAGAGTGGACGAGGATAGCAATGATGAGGATGAGGACGAGGTCTTCGGAGTTGACTAGATCCCAGACGTCCGTGGTGATCTCCAGATGGCCCACCACGCCCCCGAGGCGCTCAGGCTTCCAGACGGTCCAAAACGCCCCCAGGCGCTCCGAGAGGGTGCGCAAACGGGCCCAGAAGGGCCGCAACAGGCCCACACATCGCTTGTGCTCCAAAGGTGTTTGGCTTTTTTTGTAATTCTGGTTTCCGTTGTTTCGGCCCTTCGACGCCCCAGCCCAGCCCAACAAACACCACCCGCCTCAAGATGGTTTCGGAGGCTCAACCCAGGGGCGTCCAGAGCAGGGACTTCGTCCCCGCGAATCCCTTGAAACTGTGGCACATGTTGAAGACGAATGTGCGCGGCGCGCAGGCGAGAGACACATCTTGAAAAGGAGCCGCCCTCCATCCTTGAAGTTGCTGCAGCATGTTCAAGCGAATGTGCGCGGCGCGCAGGCGAGAACAACATTTTGGAAACGCCCCGTCCACTGTTGAATTGGTTACGACTTTTGAAACGAGTGCACGCGTCGCTAAGACGAGACATGTTTAATACGACGCGCCTTCAACCCGTGAAATTGTTACAAGCTTTGAGGGCGGATGTGCGCTGCGCTAAGGCGAGAGCCACATTTTGACAACGTCCCGTCCTCCATCCGTGAAGCCAGTCTGAATTTCAAGTTTCACGATGAAAAAGATGAGGATGTCTCAGGCCAAACGCCCGGCCCGCCCTACCGACAAGTCTGGGGGTGCGACAATGCGGAATTGTTTAGAATGAAGCAGGAGCAGGAGGAAGAGGAGCAAAACCAATGTAAACCCAAAATTCATCAATGATGTTTGAGTAATGCCTCCTTCGCAGGTCCTTATTCATAGGCCCCTACAAGGATCCACTTCCGCTGAGGTTAGTGCCCGGTTGGAAGAGAGTCGCTTGAAAATCCTGAAGCGTGCCAGTACACCGATTTCGGGCATCCAACGCCACGAATCAACTTGAGTGTTGCGTCTTGACGATCCTGAATCGTGCCAGAGCGCCGCTTTTGGGACTGCCACACTGCGAGCTAATGTAGATGTTGCGCAGCGACAGCCCTACATCGTGCCAGCAAATATGTTTTTGGGTATGTTATCCATGAGAGTCCCCGAAGCTGTTGTAAACTCTAAAAGCGAATGTGCGTGGCGCCAAAGCGAGAGTCACATCTTGAACAGGAGCCGCCCTCAACCCGTGAAACTTTTGCAATGTTTAGAAGGAATGTGCGCGGCGCTAAGTCGACAACCACATTCTAAATACCACCCGCTTTCAATCCGTAAAACGCTTGCAGAGTTTAGAGACGAGTATGCGCGACGCTAAAGCGAGAGCAATATGTTGGAAACGGCCCGCCCTGAATCCAGGAACTTCTTGATTTTTTATATTAAACTTTTAAGGCGAATGCGCGTGGCGCAAGTGCGAGACATGTTACGAAGAGCGCGCGCGGCGCTAAGGCGAAAACCACAGTTTGAAAACCACCCGCCCTCCATCTGCGAAGTTGTTACTAACGTGTAATGTTCAGGATCACAGATGGTAAGGACAGTTTAGGCGAAACGCCCGGCCTGCCGTTCCGACTTGCCTCGTGGTGCGACAGTAAAGAATTATTTAGAAGGAAAAGAAATTGAGGCAGGAGGAGGAAGAGGCGGCGGAGTAGGAGGAGGAGGAGGAAGAGGAAGAAGAGGAGGAGGAGGAGGAGGAGGAGGAGGAGAAGAAGAGCGAGGAGGAGGCGGAGTAGGAAGAGGAGGAGGCCTCTGGAGGCTTCCAGCGGTCCCCTGAGGCCCCAGATGTTCCATGGATGTCTCCTGAGGTCCCCGAGGGCAGCCAGCGGCCAGAACAGAGCCAGAAACGTCGAGCAGATCAGGCCTCGAACCTCGGGGATCGAGGAGTGGGAGGACGAGAAAGAACAGGAGGAGGAGGAGGAGGAGGCGGAGGAGGGGGAAATGAATAAAGAGGAGGTGGAGGCGGAGGAGGAGGAGGAGGAGGAGGCAGAGTAAGAGCGGGAGGAGGAGGAGGAAGCAGAAGAAGAAAACGAATACTAATAATAATAATAATAATAATATTCATAATAATAATAATAATACTAATACTAATACTAATACTAATACCACTAATAATAATACGACACATACTACTACTACTACTACTACTACTACTACTACTACTGCTACTACTACTACTACTACTAATACTACTACTACTACTACTACTACTAATAATAATAATATTACTAATAATAATAATGATACTAATAAGAAGAATAAGAAAACATAATAATAGCAATAAGACGAATAATAATACTAAGAATAAGCATAATAATAACAATCATAATAATACTAGTAGTACTCGTAATAATCATAAGAATAATAAGAAGAATAATAATAATAAGAATAAGAATAATAAAAAGAAGAAGAAGAAGAAGAGGAGGAGGAGGAGGAGGAGGAGGGGGAGGAGGGAGGCGGATGAGGAGGGGGCGAGTATGAGGCGGAGGGTGGGGGAGGAGGACCTGCTGGGTGCCATCATGGCGCAGGCTCGCTCTGGCGCGGTGCCCGAGGCGGTGGTGGACGACAGCGTGAGGCGATTGCTGCAGCCGATGTACCAGTATGGCATCTTCGAGCACGCCGGGCAGTGGGAGAACCTGTCGAAGAGGTTCGAAGAGGACGAAATACCTAGACCTCAAAATACCTAGACCTCCAACGCGTTGAACCAAAGCAGATGTTTTTAGTTCGCGGATTTCGGCGTTTGGGCCCTCATTAGGCCATGGCACCGTCAAACTGTTACTCGGGATGCAATGCCGGCCCCCGCGAAGGGGTCGAGACTTCCCCAGACCCCTGACGTCGTATCTTTTGTCCGCAATAGCGACCCCAGAGGCCTGGACCCCTCCCCCGGGACCGGATCTTCATCCGGAGTCGTTTTTTGACGGTCCTGAGGTCCGGCAAGCACTCCCGGGGGGCCGAAAACAGCGAAAAACCTCCCGCCGCGATTCCTGCACAACGCGAGGGGGTCTGGGTCTGGGGAGCCTGCATCGGAACAGGCAAGACTCAGGAGGGTGACAAAAACACGCAGACACAATGAATCGTCGATCCCCCGGAAAATATGGGAAAATATGGGAAGTGAGGGGGGAAGACGAAAACCCAGAAGATATTGGAAAATATGGGGAATCCTGAAATTTGTGTATATTTATGTGTGTGTCCTCGGGCCCCTTCAAAGACATCGGATCTCCCGGCATGGGTCGCACACTGTTCGGAGGTCCGTGCGGATTCCGTGGGGGTCGGCGCTGGGCCCCCGCGGCGGCGCCTCGGGCGTGGCGCTCCTGGCGCGCGGAGCGCCAGGGAGGAGGGCCCAGCACTGGTCCAGGCCTCGTCACGCTGCACCTTCGGGGGGCCTCGCCTGCCTCCAAGACTGGTGTCCTCTCTTGTGCCCGGCGCGGGCTCGATGCGGACTCGACGCGGATCTGGCGTGGACTCGACGCGGAGTCGACGCGGAGTCGACACGGGTCCGACGAGTTCGACACAGGTTCGGCACGGATAGGGCGTCGACGGGACAGACAAGGGTTAAGTCGGGCCTGTCCCTCTACAGGGGAAATATCAAAAAATAGTCAAAGCATAGTCTGGGGACTACTTTTTGAATATCTTTTGGGCATCTTTTGAGTATATTTTTTGTTCGATTTTTCGTCCAAAACCCCCCTGTAGGGGGACAGGCGCGACCTAAGACAAGGTCCCCCGGGGATGCAACATATGAGCTTCGGCGGCGTGCTGGACCTGGAGGTCTGCCGTGCGGCCCTGCGTCGGCGGGCGGGGCTTCCCCGGAGGTCGTGGCGTTGCGACTTTTTCGCAAGCCGCGCTTTCCCGCTCACTTTCGGTCCCCGGGGACCCTCACATGCCGATCCTGCTCGGAAAAGGGCGCAGACAGATGAGGTTCAGGAGGGCAAAAATCACACAGACACAACTTTTCGTCGATTTCCAGGACACTGCTGGAACATATGGGGAATCCTGTAACTTGCGTCTATTTATTTGTGTGTCCCAGGGCTTCTCTTGGAGGTCTGGGGCTCCGGTCGCTATTTTTGCGCTGCTGCTATGGTTTGGCAACGGAGGATCTCAGGGCTGACACTCGTCGGCAGCCCCTCCACCCATGGTAGCACCCTTCCCAGAGATGCGACGTCCTGATAATACGGGGCTCCTGGAAGTCCTGGCCCTTTCCCTGGGACTGGTTTCTCATCCTGAGTCGTCTCTCCTCACGGCCCCGAGGCCTGGCGAGGGCTCCCCGGGGCCGAAAACGGGCAACCGCCTCCCGTCCTGATGTTTTTCACGCCGCGATGCTCCCCGAAGGGGCCGCGCGCGCCCTCCCTGAGGTCCGACGTAGCCAAACAGATGCAACATCGTAGCAAAATCTCGCCCAGAGGCCCAGACCCCACCTTTCTGCACCATGTTTCGAGCTGGATCGATCTGCGAGGGCCCCGGGGTCCGCAAAAAGGCGAAAGCGCCCCGCTCCCAGGGGCCGAGAACGGCCAAACGCTTTCCGTCCTGATTTTTTTTCGACGCGATCATGTCTGGGTTCCCTTCGGCCGATGGGCCATGCCGTCAAGGGGTTCGCGTGGCCATCCTGCAGGGTTGACCCTCGTCCCTGCGCTGGCCGCCGCCCCAATTGCCTGGCAGGAGCTCCGCGCCCGCCGCCAGGAAAAGAGAAAAATAGCGGGAGGTCTGTCGGGAGCCTTGGGACGGGGGTCAATGCTAACGGGGATCAGCCAGAGAGCGCTGGACCTTGGTGGGCCCTGGAAACGGTATGGCCGTTCTTCACTGGTTCCGTTTTGCAGTCTTTGTTGAGCAGGGCTGCGTCGATATCGGCGGCCACGCCTCAGTTGAAGCTCCGCCTGCTTCCAGAGCCTGGATATTCCTTTCCTGGCATCCTACGCTGCGAAAGCACTGCAACATCGCGAACAATCACGACCGCACCATCTTTCTGCGGCACCTTTCGAGTCAGATCGACCCGGGAGGGTCCCAGGGCCCGAGTCGGGGTGAAATCGCCCTTGTGAAACAGTTGCAACGCGCTGATCTCAGGGTGATCTAGTGCCCTCACCGCAGCACGCGCTCCGAGGATCATCGAAAGGCTCATCAAACAAACAATCGGAAAGGGCCCAGACCTTCTGGGAGCCTCGTGGTGACAGAAACATCGCGGCACCAGATCCAGAGCCCTGACGTCGTGATTTCTTCACAGCGTCGACCCCCGGAGGTCTGGACCCCTAGGACCGGTTTTTCATCCTGAGCCGTTCTTCGACGTTCCCGAGGCCCGGTAAAGGCCCCGGGAGGCCGAGAACAGCGGAAACCTTCCGTCGTGATGCTTTCGCAGCACGAGGGTGTCTGGGGAAAAAACGGCCGGGGCCCAGACCTGCGGGGAGCCTCGCGGCGACCGAAAAGAAACCGCGGCACCGCAGAGGTCGCTCGACGTCACCTCGCCGGCGCACTCTGCGCTCGCGCGCCGGCTGGCCGCCGCGGGGGCGGTCCTGGCGATCGGGGGACCCAGAGATCCAACGCATGGAAAAAGTCAAGACCACGGTTTGTCGCCGTTTTCCAAAACCCTCTCGCGTTGTGAAGAAATTGCGAGGGGAGGTTTGTCGCCATTTTCGGCCTCCGGGGGCCCTCACCAGGCCACGACGTCGGGGGCCTGGGTTCGGGTCCCTGGAGGCCATCGCTGGGCACCGTGACCTTCAGAAGTCGATTCAGGATGACAAACTGGTCCCCAGGAGTAGGCCGACATTTGCGGGGGCCCCACGTTGAAAAAGTCGGGACATCGGGCCTCTGAGGAGGAGCTGCCAGGAGCGAACAGAACCCTGAGATTTGGGCGTTCATTCTTTCCACGCCGGGCGTTTTCGCGCAGTTTTGGGCCTCGGGGCCATCACAGGTCGATCGGGCTCGAGAAAATGCCGCTGGAAGATACGGTCTAGGGCTCCGGTCGCTATTTTTCGCAATACTGCAGGATTTCCTGCGATACGATCATATTTCAACTGGCGTTTTTTCCTCGATGTCCGCTTGGGCGCGAGTTAATGAGGGGGGCCATGAATAGGAGGCAGCGAGGGCTGCAGGAAAGGCGCCCTTGAGGGCCACTGCAGTGGCACTTGAGGGCCCGAAGAGGGCACCATTCTCCCCCCCCATCCCCAGACCCCCGACGTCATGCTTTTTTTCTTCTTCATAACGTCGACCCCCAAGAAGTCACTCCCCACTTCCTCGGGGCCGGTTACTCAGTCTGAGTAGTTTTTGAACGGCCCCGAGAGCGGGTGAGGGCCTCCGGGGGCCAGAAATAGCGAGAAACCTCCCGTCATGGCTTCGTTGCCCGAGGGGCTCTGGATGGATCGCCCCCCCATTGATTCGCACCCCATCCGCCCTCGGGGGCCCATTGTGGTGCTCCAGGGCCATCGGACACGGGCCCAGGATCGGAGAATCTCCCCCCCTCAGGGCGGCGGTCGGGGCCTCCTTCGGGGGCCGAGTCCCGAAAAAGTCGCCACACACCGGCGGATGTCGGGGAGAGGCCCCAAGGCGCATCCAAGAGGCCTCGTCCACGACCTCCTCCTCCTCCTCCTCCTCCTCCTTCTCCTCCTCCTCCTCCTAATCCTCCTCCTCCTCCTCCTCTTGCTCCTCGTCCTCATCCTGCTCCTCCTCCTCCCTTCCTCCCTCCTCCTCCTCCTCCTCCTCCTCCTCCTCCTCCTCGCCTCCTCCTTGTCCTCCTGGTCCTCCTCCTCCTCCTCCTGCCTCCTCCTCCTCCTCCTCCTCCGCCTCCTCCTCCTCCTCCTCCTCCTCTCCTCCTCCTCCTCCCCTCCTCCCTCCCTCCTCCTCCTCCTCCTCCTCCTCCTCCTCCTCCTCCTCCGCCTCCTCCTCCTCCTCCTCCTCCTCTTCCTCCCCCTCAGCGGATGGCAGGGAGAGGCTTTAAGGCGCCGAGGAGGAGGAGGAGGAGGAGGAGGAGGAGGAGGAGGAGGAAATCGAGTTTTCCATGGGGCCACGCTTCTTATTTAGGGTCCCTTACATAGGTCAACGCCCCGACGGTATCGTATGCGCCTGCCGTATTCGTGTGCGTGGCGGGGCGCGTGTGTCTTTTTGTGGGCTCCCCGAACGCGCGTGCGCCCCCGCCCGGCCTCCAGAGGCTTCCTTTGGTGGGCCAGGTGCTGGTCTGCCCGCGCTCCTCGGAGCAATCCCAGACATGCCCCAGATCCCCTCGCGTTGTGAACAAATCACGACGGAAGGTTTTTCGCTATTTTTGGCCTCTGGAGGCCCTTGCCGGGCCTCGGTGCCGTGAGAAACCGATCCACCGGTCCCGTGGAAGGGGTCCCAGACATGCGACGTCCTGATTTTTTCAGTGCGAGGTCCCTGGAAGTGCCCGACCCTTTCCCCGCGACCGGTTTTCCATCCTGGGTTGTTTTTTGAGGGCCCCGCGGTCCGGCGAGGGCCCCCCGAGGCCGAAAACGGCCCAGAACCTCCCGCCCTGATTTCTTTCACGACGCGATCGCGTCTTGGGGGGGAGGGGTCGAGTCCTCTGGAAGGTCGGCGTAACAGGATCGCGCCGTCGGGGGCCTGCGAGTGCCGCCCGCGGTCGTGGCCACCCGATCGGTCCCCAGAGGGGCCCCGCGAGGCCGAAGACGGCGCCCAGCGGCGCCTCGATCCGCGATCCCAGACCCCCTCGCGTCGTGAAAAGGTCACGGCGGGAGGTTTTTTCTGTGTTTTGGGCCTTTGGCGGCCCCCAAGGGGTCTCGGGCGTCAAAAAATGGTTCAGGATGCAGGAACCCGTCCTGGGGAATAGGTCCAGACCCTTGGGGGTCGAGGTTGTGAGGAAGTCACGACGTCGGAGGTCTGGGATCGTCGTGGGCAACGCGGTGAAGCATCGATACGGTGAGTTCCACCAGCTTCCAGACCTTGGATTCTTTCTCTAAGAATTCCTTCCCTGAGATCCTGGCGTTGCATTTTCTTTTACAACTGGCGTTTTCGCTCAATTTCGGGCCCCAGGACCCTCGCAAATCGATCCGGCTCGAAAAATGACGCAGAAAGGTGGAGTCTGGGGCTCCGGTCGTGTTTTTTTTGGATGTTGCATTGGTTTTGCAACGTCGGATCTCAGGGTTATCCTCCGATGCCCTCACCGTAGTGGCCTTTTCGGCCCCCCCTGCGGCCGTGCCTGGGGTCGTGGGAGAGGCCCCCTGGATGCGCCTGACGGCCTCTTGCCCCAGACATGCAACGTCCTGTTTTTTTCCACGCGGCGCCCCTGGAAGTCCCGACCCTGTCCCCCGGGCCGGGTTTTCATCTCGAGTCCCTGCTTGTGACTTTCCAAAAAGACCCCACGAAGGGTCCGTCGGGAACCTCTCACGACGCGAGGGGCCTGGGCACGTCCAGAAAGACCTCGGTCCTCGATCGCTCCACTGCCAGGGGACTGTCACTGTACCCTGCGACGACGTGCGTGACCCAGGCGGGGGAGGGGGCCAGTCACTGCCAGTCACGTCACGACTCGCGCCGGCGCCGTTTGGGCATGCCCAAGAGTGTGCTCGTTCCCGCACGGCGCCGGCGCGAATCGTGATGTGGCCAGGTGGGGGAGGGGCGGGGGGGGGCGGGGCCGGTCAGGAGAGTTATCCCGAATACAAGCAAAGCGGGCTCATAGCTCAGCAGTGGTGTGCATCTTCCCCGCCCGCAGGCGAGAAACGAGGGCGCACTGCCCGTGCCCGCGGCGGCGCGGAGGATCGCGGTGATCGGGGCCCAGGCCAGAGGGCGCCGGCCATGACACCGGCTCCAGCGGAGGAGGAGGAGGAGGAGGAGGAGGAGGAGGAGGAGGAGGAGGAGGAGGAGGAGGAGGAGGAGGAGGAGGAGGACAAGTGCAAATCCAAGACTCATCAACGATGTTGGAAGAAGCTCTCCTTCCGAGCTCCCTCTCCATACGCCCGCCACAAAGGTTGCCCTCCACCCAGGGGAGTGCGGGAGTGCCCCGTTGGGAGACGACCGTCGGTAGCTCCTGGAGCGTGCCCAGACACTATGCTCGCGGAGATTACGCGCAGGGCCAGAGCCCCGACGCGCAAGGCCCCCCCCCAAACAAAAAATACACAGGCCAAGCAAACATGGTTTTGGCCTGTGGAGCGCGGGCGGGGGGGGAGCAGCGGAGCTCTCAATCCTTGGAGCTCTTGTAACTTTCTAAACTGAATTCAAGAGGGAAGAAAACACACAGACACAATTAATCCTCGATTCCCAAATATGGAAAATATGGGAAGTGGCGGGAAAACAAAAACCCAGAAAATATAGGAGCATAGTGTGAATCCTTTTATTTGTATCTAATTATTTGTGTGTTCCAGGGCCCCTTCATGAATGTGCGCGGCGCTGAGGCGAGAACAACATTTTCGAGACGCCCCGCCCTCAATCCGTGAAGCTCTTGCAGATGTTTACGACGAGTGTGCGCGGCGCTAAGGCGAGAGCTACATTCTGAGGACGGCCCGCCCTCACTAATCATGTGAAGCTCTTGCAATTTTCAGAGACAGATGCTCGCGGCGCTAATGCGAGCGCCACATTTTGGAAACGGCCCGCCCTCCATCCGCGAAGCTGTTGCCAATTTTAAAGCTCCAGGTCCTACATGGTGAGGAATCCTCAGGCGAAGCGCCTGGCCCTCTTCCTGACTGGCTTCGGGGTGCGAGAGGGAGGAGTTATCTAGAAGGAAGAGGCATGCAGGAGGAGGGGGAGGAGGAGGAGGAGGAGGAGGAGGAGGAGGAGGAGGGGAGGGGGGGAGGAGGAGGAGGAGGAGGAGGAGGAGGAGGAGGAGGAGGAGGAGGAGGAGGAGGAGGAGGAGGAGGAGGTTGGGTTGGGAACGGCCTAGAAGGCAGCGGCACGCCGCTAGAAACACTACCACTCCCAGTCTTCCACATCGCTCTCGGATGAGAAGCCAGAGTCGCTTGCTGCGCGGGCCCTGGCGGTCACCCTCAAGCCTCGCACGCGCACCGCAGGCAGGTCGGATTCAGCTATGCCGACAGAGCGGAGCACGACCTCCCGCTAGGACAGCGCTGGCGCCGCTGGGCGTTCTTCGCCAGCGCGGGCAAAAGTAGGCGCTGGCGCGGCGGCAGTCGAAAAGACGGCTTGCAAACGGAGGCGCTCGTCCATAGGCACGCCATCTGGCGGTGCCAGTCTCACCCCCCGCGTGGTCTTGCGATAGTGGGGATGGTCACCCGCCGTCAGCTTAGACAAATGCTCGCGCAGCTTCGGGCCACTCCGCGGGTTTAGGGCACTCGGCGTGTTTTTGTTGTTGTTGTTGTTGTTGTTGTTGTTGTTGTTGTTGTTGTTGCTGTTGCTGTTGCTGTTGCTGTTGCTGTTGCTGTTGCTGTTGTTGTTGTTGTTGTTGTTGTTGTTGTTGGTGTTGTTGTTGTTTTCAACCATGTACGATGTTGCAATATGTTGTGCAACGTCGGACCTCAGGGTCAGAGTGACCTTTCGGCGCGGCCCTTCGCCAGAGTGACCTCTGGTGCGGGCCCATTGGAGTGCCCCGATCGCCGAGCGCGGTGCGGTATAGTATCGTCTTGCGCGCTTGTGGTCGGTCCCCCCGCGCCCCCCCAGAAGCCGCGCGCCGAAGGTCGTTCTTGCCCAGGGCCGCTCTTGCGCGTGGTCGACCATGTGGGGAAGTGAGAGGGGGGCGGGCCTCTCAGAAGGCTCGGAAGGCCCCCGGCCCTTGAGAAGTGTTTTCCGCCTTCTCCGAGGACGCGGGGGACCTCTCGGAAGGCCCGGCCCCAATCGCTTCCTCCCTGGGCTCGTCGCCCAACAAGTGAGACGCCGACGACATTTGTGAAATACACGATCTACCCAGACCAAGATTGGTTCAAAAAAGTGCTGACGATATTTGAAACGATCATGAGGCTGCAATCGTGTCGCACGGTAGAAGCTGAACTGCCATGTTCGGAACGCCGCATGGTCGGCATTTTCCAGGGCGCTCCGGCCCCCAACCCGCCTAGTCCCCTCGTGCGGACTCTCGTGTGCGGGCTCTTGTCTTGTCTCTTGTACCCAGGCATGCGACGTCCTGATTTTTTCAATACGGGGTCCCTGAAAGTTCCGATCCTTTCCCTGGGGCCTGTTTTTCGTCCTGACCGTCCCGAGGCCCTGCGAGGGCTCCCAGGGGAGGAAAACGGCCGAAAACCTCCCGTCCCGACTTTTTCACGACGCGATCCGGTCTGGGGTCTTGTCTCTGGTTGGGGTCCTGGGGTCGGCCTGGTGCCGTCCTGGCCGAGCTCGGCTGCACGTCGGAGTGGCCCCTCGCCGGAGCGGCCTCTGCCGCGCTGCTCTCGGGGCGGCCGGGCCCGAGAGCGCGGGCCGCTGCCGCCGCCGCCGCGTGCAGCGGTCGGTGGCCGCGCACCAAGGGCCACTCCGTGCCTGGGGCCACTTCTGCGCGCAGCCGACAGGCCCCCAGACATGATCGCGTCGTAAAAGATCAGGACGGCAGGCGTTTGGCCGTTTTCAGCCTCGGGGGGCCCTCGCCGGGCCTCGGGACCGTCAGAAAACCACTCAGGATGAAAAACCGGTCCTGGGGAACGGGTCGGGACTTCCAGGGGCGCGCATGGAAAACATCAGGACGTCGCATGTCTGGGCCTGGAGGGCGCCGTGTGCACCGGCCCTCGGTCTGCCCGACGCCGGCCCTCTGAGTGAGCCCGCAGCTCGCCGCTCCTTTTGCAGGGGCGCCCTCAGGCTGCACCCTCGGGCTGCGCCCAGTAGCCCAGTAGCGCACGCGCCCCCGAGGTTGTGAGCCCTGGCTTCTCACTGCTTCACAACTGCCAGCGTTTCTGGCCTGTCTCGCACCGTTTCTGGCGGATGCGCTCACCAGCCAGCACCCACCAGCCCACCAGCTTGCCTGTCTCGCACCGTTTCTGGCGGATGCGCTCGCTGGCGCAGGCTGCTGCCCTTGGGGCGTCCGATCCCCGCTCGCGCCCAACAACACACTTCGGGCTGCACCCTCCCTGAGATCCGACGCTGCGACAGAATGGCAGCATCGCCAAGAGTCAGGCCCCGAGCCTCAGACCCCACCTGTCCCCAGACCCCCGACGTCGTGACTTTTCTCGCAACGTCGACCCCCAGAGGTCCGGTCCCCTTTCCTGGGACCGGTTTATTATCCCGAATCAGTTTTTGACGCTCCCACGGCCTGGTCAGGGCTCCTGGATGGGCCGAAAATGGCGAAAACCCCCCCATCGTGATTTCTTCACAGCGCGAGGGGTCTGGGTCCGCAGCATCCGTCGAGCCGGATCGGCCCGTGAGGGCCCCGACGGGGCCCGCAGAGCTGGGCGGAGATGGCGCCGAGGCCGTGGAGCGCAGGCGCAGCGCCCGGCGCTCTGGGCGCCGCCCCGTCCCCGCGCGGCAGGCGCCGCGCGGCGTGCCCGTGCAGTGGCCGCCGAGGCGGCCTCGTCGGCGCCCGCCGCGCGGAGGGTCCTTTCCGTCTTTTTCCTGCGCTGTGCTCGGTCAGCCCACACGTGTGCGACGTGTCTGGTACGCCTTGAGCGCCGCGGTCTAAGCCAACTGAGCACTGAAATGCCGACGGTTGCGAAAGAGAGTGAGAGAGAAAAAGCAAGAAGAGAACGAGAGCAGAAAGAGCGAGGCGGGTGTGGACCTGGGCCTTCTCGCGTCAGTCCGAGGCGGGAATCTATGCATGACCGCCGCCTGGAGGGTCAGTGTTCGGAGCCTCGGCAGGCGGCGGATGTGGGCATGGTCGGGCCCCCAGGGGCCGAGATGTATCCGTGTCCACCGCTGCCTTGGGCACCAGGACGTCGGTTCCCAGGCGGTGGATCTGGATAAATCCCCGCCTCGAAGTCACGTTTTTCGTAACACATCGAGAGCAAAGGAACCCCAAGCCTTCATTACACGATGGGGGACGTGGCCTCACTTGGGTCCCCGTCGTCGCATCAGGGATCATAGATCTGGGCGCTTTGGTTTGACACATTTGCAGCAAAACCCCTCCATTACTAATGCTCTTGGCCCTCCTAAATCCCAGACCCCCGACGTCATGATTTTTTCATAGCGTCGACACCTGGAGGTCTCGACCCATCCCCCTGGACCGGTTTTTCATCCTGAGCAGTTTTTTGACGGTCCCGAGGGCCGGTGAGGGCCGCCAGAAGCCGAAGATAGCAACACAAATCTTCGTCATGATTTTTTGTCATATCCCCGAGGGTGTCTGGGTTAGGTCCCCTCCCAAAGGGTTAGGGCCACGTTTATTGCTTATTGGTAACGTCGACCCCCAACTCAGGTCCCCTCGAGGGAGGAGGAGGGAGGAGGAGGGATGAGGAGGGAGGAGCAGGGAGGAGGAGGGAGGATGCCATTTTTATTGCTGAGCAGTAACGTCGACCCCCAGAGGTCTCGACTCACAATCCCCAGGACTGGCCTCTTGATTTGCCCCGCGGTGTCACTTCTCGACGCGCTCTCCCCAGGCCCCCGGAGAGGGCCGTGGAGCAGCCCGCGTCCCTCCCGCTGCGCTTTGTCCGAATTTGACGTGCTTTTGTCCCAGACCCCCTCGGGTCAGGAAAAAATCCCGGCGGGAGGTTTCTCACCATGTTCGGCCTCCAGGGCCCTCACCCAGGCCTCGGGGGTGTCAGAAAACGACTCAGGACGAAAAAGCCGGTCCCCGGAAAGGGGTCGAGACCTCTGAGGGTCGACGCTCTGAACACATCATTGCGTCGGGGGTCCCGGGTTGGGCCTCCGCGAGGGCCGGTGGTCGCAGCAACCCCGGTCGTCCACGGGGGTGGCCGAACTGCTCGGGCCGTGGCCCTTGGCCCCGAGGGCCAAGAACCCGAAGCCTCCCCCTGCGTTTTTTTGCTGCTCGCGACGCGACGGGGTCTCTGCGGATGGTGCAGGCCGAGGGCACGCCGCCCTCGCTGCCGCCAGGCGCTGGACCCCACGGTGCACGGCGGGGGCTCCGGCGCGGTGCTCCCGACTTACGTCGTCTCGCCGCTGCACGCCATCCGGGAGCGCGCCGCGGCGGCCGGAGCCACCGTCGCGTACGACGATGGCGGGGCCTCGGGGGGCGCTGGCGTCCCCTCGACCTGCACCTGCCGCACCTTCCGCGCGGCAGGTGCCGCGCTGCCGTGGCCGCCGCGGCGGCCACCGTCGAGGCCGCAGCGGCGGCCGCGGCGGCCGGCGGGGCCCGCATCGCGGCGGCTCCTTCCGCGCGGGAGGTGCAGGTCGAGGGGCCCCTGCAGGGTGGCCTGGGCCGAGCTCTTGGGCCCCAGAGGGGACCCCGAGCTCCCACGATGTGATGTTTCTCACCGGCGGCTTCTCCTGGATGTCAGCCCTTGGGGGCCATACAGCAGCCCTGGACCTGGACGTTTGGGGCGAAGGGAGCCACCCTGGGGGAGCGGTCGGGACCTCTGGCGCCGTGGGCCGGAAAAGTCAGACTGGCGCACGTCGGGGAGCGGGCCCGAAGGTTCGGAGCGGCCTCGTCGGAGTGCTGGGTCCCTCCCTGGGAGACCCCGGACCGTGCCGGAAGTGCCGCTTCGGGCTCCCAGCCCCGGCTTTTGGTGTCGGGTGGTTTTTGGTCGGCCTCGCGGGGCTTTGAGGAGGGTCCAGGACCGTCCGAGCACGGCTCAGGATGAAGCGCTCGTCCTGCTGTTCCTCGATCCTCCTCCTCCTCCTCCTCCTCCTCCTCCTCCCTCCTCCTCCTCCTCCTCCTCCTCCTCGATCCTCCTCCTCCTCCTCCTCCTCCTCTCCTCCTCCTCCTCCTCCTCCTCCTCTTCCTCCTCCTCCTCCTCCTCCTCCTCCTCCTCCTATTCCGCCTCCTCCTCCTCCTCCTCCTCCTCCTCCTCCTCCTCCTCCTCCTCCTCCTCCTCCTCTTCCTCCTCCTCCTCCTCCTGGGCAGGGGAAAGCCCGCAGGGTGCAGGGCCAGCTGCTGCCGGCGCCCTTGTCCTCCATGCCCATCGCTCTGCGCTCTCGTCCCTCGCGCTCGCCGTCGTGCTTCTGCTGCTCCTGCCGCGGTTCCACAGCGCAGCGGCAGGGGGATCGGGGTGGCTTCCCCAGCCCAGGGCATCGATGGCAATGCATTGGGGTTTGGCCCGAGCGGGTGTGAAGCGAAGCTCAGCTCTGCCTCGGCTCGACGTCCTCCGTCGCCCGCTCCTGCGCCTCGTTCGTCTCCTGCTTCTGCTTCCCCTGCTGCGGACATCCCGTATCAAGTTACTGTGGCGGCCTGTGGCGCGAGCATTTCCACCGAGAAGGCCAAGCTGTTTGCCTCCCACAGGTCCGTCGCCATGGCGCTGCGGAAGCAGCTAGGATTTTTGTCAGGCACTAGTATCGTGTCTTCATGCGCTCTCCGACTCTGATGTGTTATGGCCGTTGTGAAAGTAGGCACCCGACGCTATCATCCATCGGCTGTGGTTTAGTCAGGCGGTGGAGCAGGAAGGGGAGGAAACGCTTGGTCATGCTGCATCGCTTTGTCCGCCCCCCGACCTCACGGAGGAAAGTGACCCTGTTGCTTTGCACCCGTGGTTTGTGTCAGCATCCTGGAGATATCGACCCTGGCACGACCTGCCAGATCGATGAGCCCGCGTCGGGCTTCCAGGTTCAGTGGACAAGGGACCCCACGTGCACGTCAGCGGAACTTCCAGGCAGGCTTTATGTCGATGGGTCTTGCAATCGAAGTGTGTCGGGCGAAGTATCCAGGGGGGGGCTGTCGTTTCCGTCTCAACCCTAAGGTGAAGTCGATTGTGTATCATGTCGGGCCCGCTCCTCGGACAATCTCCTTATATTCCCTAAACGGCAGGATCTGCGGCCTACTGCATGGCAGCGCAGTGTGGCCGCCCAGAAGACTAGAATCTTTGTTAGTGAATGTTTGAATGTTGCCCGCCAGGCCCAGGAATCCGTCCAGACCGGGCTCTCCTATCGTCGCCCCTGCGCTGGGCTCCTGTTCCAGGCTCTGGCGCCCAGAACCCGTTCAGTGATCAAGGTTGAGGCGCATGTGCCCGACAGCCCCGACCTCTCGGACTAAGATGGGGCACGCAGATTCGGCAACGATCGTGCTAATGAGGCGGCGAAGGCGGCAGCTTTTCGACACCTGCAGCCGCCACCGAACGAGGTTGAACATTGAACAGGTTGTTCGCTTTGAACGTGTGTCTCGCGCTGTTGCTAAGCTGCATGCCCGCATAGTGCCTCTTTGGCCCAGGTTGGACCTCACAGACGTCCCCCGGACTAAATTTCTCAGGTCCGAGGACTCCTCCTCCGCCCCCCCATGATTGGCATTGGGAAGGTTGATGTTGGATCTGTGCTGAGTGGTTTCGAGCTTCCCGTAGTTCTTGGAAGCCCCCCTCCTGGGCGGTGCAAGGGCCCCACTTCCATCAAGGCATCACCCCTGAATCGCTGCGCCTTGTGGAGCACTTTCCAGTGATGTTGGAATCGAGCCAAAGACTTGCTAATTGCGTGCGCCAGATGTAATTGCTACACCTCTGGCGGACGAGCGCGGGGTCTCAGCAACAAATGTGCTGGACCCCCTCAGAGACAAGTGTGACAAAGGCCGCCGTTACGGTAGTCTTGCGTCCTCAAGGGAACACATCCCAAGAGTGGCGTGCCGCTTGACTCAGGGCTGCTGGGCGATGGCGCCTAGCCTCGGACGGCCTTCCCTGTCACTCAGCCGCCACGGCTGCTGGTCTCAAGGCCGCAGACTGGCTGGAGGGGTGTGTACAGTCTGTGTTTGGTGGTTGATGTTCAAAATCTCCTTCCCCCCGTCTTTTTCGTTCTCCCTCTGACTACTCCTGCCCGTCGGCCACCAGGAGGCAGGGGGGGCTAGCGCTAGCCGCGGCGGCAAGCGACCCAGGGGACCAAATCCGCAGGCAATATCGACTGATGAAGACACCGAGAAACGATGATGATGCTGATGATGATGATGATGATGATGATGATGATGATGATGATGATGATGATGATGATGATGCTGATGGTGATGATGATGATGGTGATGATGCTGATGATGGTGGCTGATGATGATGACGATGATGATGCTGATGGTGATGATGATGCTGATGCTGATGCTGATGCTGCTGTTGGTGATGATGCTGATGATGATGATGCTGATGCTGATGCTGATGATGATGATGATGCTGATGATGATGATGATAATGATGATGATGAGGATGATGCTGCTGCTTATGATGATGATGATGATGATGATGATGATGATGATGATGATGATGATGATGATGATGATGATGATGATGATGATGATGATGATGCTGATGATGATGATGATGATGATGATGATGATGATGATGATGATGATGATGATGATGAAGGAGGAGAGGAGGAGGAAGAGGAGGAGGAGGAGGAGGAGGTGGAGAAGAGTGAGGAGGAGGAAGAGCAGGAGGAGGAGGAGGAGGAGGAGGAGGAGGAGCAGCAGCAGCCTGATGGCTCACCTTCTTGCAGCCTCCGTTTCCCCCACCTTTGCCCAACTAGCCTTCACCTGTCCACACTTGTGGCGGAGGGATGGGTGGGCGGTCGTCCATCCCCGTTGGGGGGGGGGATGGGCGCACTTACCGACGACTGCCCTGGCGTTGGCCAGGGCGGCCGCGGAGCGCGCGCCATCCCGCGACAGCACGCCTACTCACGCTGTTAGGCAGTTCGCTCACAACTCGCCCTCTGTCCCCTTGCCTTCACGCCGCTTGCAACCACCCACTGCCAGCGCTCTCCCGCCGCCAGCGCTGCATTCCCCCACGCCCAGTGGAAACCCCAGAGGTGGTCACCAGCCCTCCGCTCGGGAACCCTACATCTCCTTGCAGGCGAGAGTCCCCGTGGCAGGAGCAGTGGGCACCTGCCGGCAATTCCTGCCGGCAGAGGGAGAGGCCCTTCCGCCTTCCACATCGGCCAGTGTGGCCACTTGCCAGACTGCCCCACGCCGCCCGCCATCTCTTTCCTACCCAGCGGGCACCGTTTAGGAGATGGAGGACGTCGGGGACGGATGGAAGGGCAACGCGCTGCTGGCTGCCCTGGCGATGGCCAGGCGGCTGCTGGCACCACAGCCGTGAGGCTACACGGTCGCCGCCGCGGAAGGCACAACCCTCCCCCACACCTGGTGGGACCCCCACGGCGGCCCCCAGTCCCTACCTCAGGAACCCTACGCCTGCGTGGCGGGCGGTGGCTTCCTTGGCGGGACTGTGGGCCGTCGTTTCTATAAGTGTGGGGACAGACCTTTTGTGCCTTCCACATTGGCGGGTGTGGCCTGGCCACGCCCCTTTGTCGCACCGCCACCACCAACGCCACATGTCCGCTCGGCGCCTTGCTGCTGTTACCTCACACCGCCGCCAAGTTGCGCGCCGTCACGCCACCACTACGTCCCCTCTCTCCTTCTCCCTCCTCCGAGGTTCTGATGTCCTGCTTTTCCTCTTTCCTCGTTCTCGTTGGTTTTCTGTCGCTGTCTTCATTACTTACTAATCCCAGCCGGTGGGGAAACCCACTCGGCTCACCAGTTAGATCGACCCCCCAGGGCCGACGAGGTCTTGGGGGAGGGCAGCGTTCGACGGTCTTTCGCGCCTGCAGGCTTTCAGGATTTCAGGAGGGGAGGAAGCAGGATACGATACGATACGATACGCACACCTTTGCCGCCAACACCGTAGCCATATTGGTTCAAGGCCAGTCAGACTCCAACGAGTTAGCCGCCTGCGCCGTGATGCCCCCAGGGCTGAACCAGCAAAAGCTGTGCTTACTTGAGCGCCAAGGTCGAGGTTCCAGTTTTAGTTTTTGGTGACCGCCGGGGTATCGCTGGTGCAGTTGCTGTGGCTGGCCTCTGCTGCTCACCATGGTCGGTCCTCCAGCGTGGTTTGGGATCACGTCGTTTCATTGTCGTTTACTGGCGCGCCTTAGCAATCTGTACTTTCGTTTGCCCCTTGGTACGATATGGTCGGACGGGTGTTTTTTAAACCATGTATGACGTTCTGACTTTGCGTGCTTGGTGCTCGTGCAGACTTGGCTCTTGTTTTCTATGAAGGTTGAGTTTTGCTTTTGGCTTTGTATGTGACCGTTGCGTTGCTGGCGCCCGCGGGATACGTGTTCCCTGGCTGATGTGATTGCGCGGCTTTCTGGTGCCAGTCAGCAGGTCAGCTCCGCTGCCATGGGTCCCCAGCGTGTCGGTGGAGTTCTTCTTGAGGCTTACGGGTGGCGGTATGCAGTTTTCTCCTTGGCTCTGCACTGTAGGGCCCTGGACCTTTTCAGATTACCCAGTGGCGGTTGCTGCTCATCCGCATGTGATGCTGCACGAGGCTTTGGCCCTTTGGTGTCCATAGCGCTGCGTGCTGGTATGGTCGTCGGTGGTTCTTCCTCCATTGGCGCGTGGGCCTCGTCTTCGGCCTAATTTAGTTCTGCTGGCGTCGGAGCAGTTGCTCCGCGGCTTGGCGTCTTCAACATGCGACAGTGTGTGTGGCTGGCTCGGCCGAGTGCCCGATGGCGCAGCGTCTTGGCATCAGTGTTGTGGGGCCGGTTTGGTTGGCGTTCGGTCTCTTCGTGCACTGGTGCCCGAACGCCGACTCCCTGGAGCCTGAGGGGGGGTGGGGTGGTCTGCTTGACTGCTTCTTTGCCATATGCATGGAAGCATTGAAGAATCCTGGACGCCATGCTTTTTGATTGTCCTCGGAATGTTTCATTCACGCGCGCTTGGAAATCGCGCAGCAGTGCGCCCCGGTATTCGCATCAATGCTGAGTGGAGGCTGGTGATGTGGTGAGCTTCTGGCTTTCAGAGGAAGGTGCATATGCCATGTCCTGTGCAGTAGGGCCGCAGCTAAGGCCCTGCACGTGGCCAGACTGGCCCATGCAGCCACCGATGCACGGGGCAGCCACACGCAGCCGAGGCAGCTATCAGGTAGTTCTTCCTTCCAGTACCTTCAACCTTCTTGCTGTTAATGAGTGATGCATGCCGTTGGGATGCTTGGAAAACCACAAACGAGGATACATATTGCGTGACTCGCTGGGCATATGAACGAGGAGTTGGGGTCGAGGCATACATGACACGGTGTGATATTCAGCAAGCGTGTTCGATGACCGAGGTGGTGGAGGGGCAGGTGAGTCAGACGCAGGTGTAGATTTGCTACCTTGGACCGCGGACCTAATCTCCATTCCCGTCGGCGCACTCGGGGATCCTCGGGCACGAAACAGCGAAACTGGGCATCTGGGATGCCAAACTGTTTCTCTTGGCCTACGCCCATGGAGCACTACCACCTGGTAGGTTCAACACTTCCACATGATCATCCTTACTTTCCTTGGTAAGGGTCTGAATCCACTGCCACAGCATAGCCTCCAGGCATGTCTGGATCCATTACTGCGGCAGGGTCTCCAGGGAGGTCTGAATCCATTACTACAGCAGGATCGTCAGGCAGATCTGATGCGTAAATATCTTGCGAAATCTTGGTTCCCGAAGTGCTATCGTGAGGCAGCGTGTCTTTGCTGAGTACTTTGTCCTAGTTCTTCTACCCGCTCTGTAACCTGTGATGCTTTCCTGTTTGATTCCTCTCTCCTCCAGCACTTTCTCTGGGGCGATAGAAGTCGAGGCGATTTTCTGTCATTTGCACGTCTGCACTGATATCATTAAACTTCCCCCCTTCCCCCCAATGGCTTCGCGCACCCTGCTCGCTGCTTTTCCTTCTCCTTCTCCTCCTCCTCCTCTCCCTCCTCCCCCTCCTCCTCATCCTCATGCTCCTCCTCCTCCTCCTCCTCCTCCTCCTCCTGCTCTTCCTCCTCCTCCTCCTCCTCCTCTGCACGGGGAACTCAGTGGCGCCGGACAGCCGTGACCATATTTTTCGCAGAGCTGCGTGGGCCCGGGAATCTGCAGCCCTTCCCTGCTCCCTCGGCGTCGCTGCGCTCCTGGCCGAAGACTGCCATGGGCGCGCCGGCGCCAGGAGAGACGCGTGGCTCGTGGGCTTCCTGCCGGGGCTGGGGGAGCAGAACGGTTGGCTGCTTGGCTGCCTCGGTGCGCCCGTCCTGAAACGCAGCACGAGCCGTGTTCAAAGCGACCGTGTCAAGACGCAGCGTGTTGGCTCGGCACGCGGTGGGCCGCGTTTTGGCGAGCGTGTCGCGCCAAGCGCACGTTTCCAATCTGCGCGTGGAGCTCCGTGTCGATACGCTGCGTGTTGCGTGTTGCGTATCGCGGCAGCTACGGTTGACCTTTTTGTCCTGGCGGCAGAACAGCTCGAATCGAAGAAGAAGTAACGCCATACACAAACATATATATATATATATATATATATATATAGGTACATTGCAAAAAACTGTTGGCGCTCCGCGCGGATCCAAGAAATCGCTGGGGCCCCCTGGCGGCGCCTTCGGCGCCGCGCGCCAGGGAGGGGGTCCAGCGCAGATCCAAGAAATCCGCGCGGAGCGCCAACAGTGTACGTTCATGCTGTTTTTTCTTTCTCTAAGAACAGCACGAGAGGAATCTTAGCAGGATGATGTACTCGTGACGAGTTTGAGATCCTTCTTTCCAGGGCAGGATGGCTCCCCCGCGCTCCAGCTAGCCTTATCGTGGCCAACTTGCCGCGGCCACTCGCGGTGCAGAGCACTACTTATCGGGATGATGAGCCTAGTCGTTGGGGGGCGGGCCGGCTTTTCGCCCTGGAGCCGTGGACGGATCTGCAAGGGGCACTTAGGGGTCCCTCTCTCCCTCTCTCTCTCTCTCTTCCCACGGGAATTGATTGGTTATGTTGGGTGCTAACGATCTCGTTCGGCGGTGCCCCCCCCTCCGGACTGAATTGATAAAATTATGGATGTTTGTTTCCATGTTGCGGTCATATTTTTCACGTCGGTGACCTTTTCCAGGCGAGCTTGTCTCTGCCCCTCAGGAGGAGCGGGAGGAGGAGGAGGAGGAGGAGAAGAGGAGGAGGAGGATTAGCAGGAGCAGCAGCAGCAGCAGGTTTCTGGGGCGGATCCGGTCCGAGCGATTCGCCGGGGGCTGCAATAGGTGCCCCCGGACCACAGGCGCCCCCAGTTCTTCGCTGAACCTTGGAGCCCCTGGGGCCCTCTGAGCCTCGCGAGGGGGTGCTCCGGAGGCTGCGGGGGCCTCCCAGGAAAGCCATAGGGGCGCCTTGGGGGGGCCAGGGGCACCTCGAGCAGCACCTGGACGAGCAGCCACGCAGAGGCCCAGGAATGGCACAGCAGCACTTTCGGATACGTGCCTCGGTCCTCGAGCCGAGGAGGAGGAGGAGGAGGAGGAGGAGGAGGAGGAGGAGGAGGAGGAGGAGGAGGAGGAGGAGGAGGAGGATCGAGTCGATCCTCGAGCCGGGAGGGGTGCCTCCATCATGCAGCGGCACGCGCTCGGCCTCCCCGGCGTCGGCGCGAGGGCGCGGGCCAGGCTGAGCAGCGCCACGGGAGGAGTGGCACCTCGTTCTCTCCCGTCTCCCTCCTCCCGCCGAACCTTGTCGCCCAGGGACGGCCTGGGGCAGGGGAAGCTTTCATCGCTGCCGTTGCGCTTGCTTCGCGACCTCGGAAGTCTTGGCCAGCATGATCCGGCATGATCCCCTTTCCTCCGATGACCTCGAGCCTCGATTTCTCAGCCGGGGGTGCCTCACGTAGCCCCAAAGCCTCGATCCTCGAGCATCCGAGGACCTCGGGCCTCGTTCCTCGAGTCTTCATCCACGATCCTCGAGCCTCGGTGCTCGATCGTCGAGTCTTGATCGTCGGCCCTCGATCCTCGGTCCCTGATCAGCGACCCTCGGGCCTGAAACCTCGACCGTCAAATTTCGGGCATCGGTGATCAATCCTCGATCTTCGATCCTTGAGCTTCGATCCTATGCTCTTGACAAGGAGGAGGAGGAGGAGGAGGAGGAGGAGGAGGAGGAGGAGGAGGAGGAGGAGGAGCAACAGGAGGGGCAGGAGGAGGGATGCTGGTGATGATGATGCTGCTGCTGATGATGATGATGATGATGCTGATGATGATGATGATGATGATGATGATGATGGTGGTGATTACGATGATGATGAACATGATGATGCTGATGCTGATGCTGATGATGGTGATGATGATGATGAGGATGAGGATGAGGATGAGGATGAGGATGGTGATGATGATGATGGTGGTGGTGGTGATGATCATGACGGTGATGATGGTGATGATGATGATGATGACGATGATGATGATGATGATGATGATGATGCTGATGCTGATGATGATGATAATGATGATGAGGAGGATGATACTCATGATAATTCTGATGATGGTGATGCTGATGATCAGCTGATGATGGTGATCAGCTGATGATGATGGTGGTGGTGATGATGATGGTGATGATGCTGCTGCTGCTGCTGATGATGATGATGATGACGATGATGCTGATGATGATGATGATGATGATGATGATGATGATGATGATGATGATGATGATGACGATGATGATGATGATGATGATGATGATGATGATGATGATGATGATGATGATGATGATGATGATGTGGTGTGGTGGTGTGGTGGTGTGTGGTGTTGTGATGATGCTGTTGCTGCTGCTGCTGCTGCTGAGGAGGAGGGGAGGAGGAGGAGAGGATGGTGATGCGGATGAGGATGAGGATGAGGAGGAGGAGGAGGAGGGGAGGAGGAGAGGAGGAGGAGTGAAGGAAGGGAGGAGAAATGGAGGAAGGGCGGAGGGAGGGAGGGAGGAAGGGAGGGAGGAGGGGAGGAGGAGGAGGAGGAGGAGGAGGAGGAGGAGGAGGGAGGAGGAGGAGGAGGAAGAGGAGGAGGAGGAGGAGGAGGAGGAGGAGGAGGAGAGCCACAGCAGCAGCCTGAGGAGACCCGCGCGCCTTGCGCCCCCCCCCCCCCCTCACGGCCGCTGGCCGCCCCCCACGGGTGCCTGCGGGAGCAAGGCTCAGACGAGCAGCGCGCGGCGTCCGTGGCCGCGGAGGCGGTCGCCGTCGACGACGCCGCCGCCGACGACGACGCGGCCGCCGACGACGGCGGGCGGCGGCTTCAGCGACGACGTGGACGACGGCGGCTTCGACGACGACGTCGACGACGATGACGTCGTCGACGGCTTCGACGACGACGACGGCGCCCGAGCGTTCGTGGTCGCCGTTGACGACGCCGCCGACGACGTCGTTTCCAGACCTCCAGCGTATTGGACAACACTATTGCCGAGGTCTTTCGCGCCTCTCGGCTTCCGGGGGCTCTCGCTGGGCTCCAGGGCTGGCAACAGCTGGCTCAGAACGGAAAGGCTGCCCGAAGGAGTGGATCGGGACTTCCAGGGACTCCTCCCACTCCTCCTCCTCCTCCTCCTCCTCCTCCTCCTCCTCCTCCTCCTCCTCCTCCTCCTCCTCTTCTCCCTGGAAACATCAGATCTCTGTGTCTCTGGCTTTCGTGGGCACGCTCGGCGCCGCGACCAGGGCCTGGCTTGGCGGCCTGGGCAAGGCTGGCGGATCCCGGGAGAGGTCGGGGATAGGCTTGAACGGATTTTGGTCGGTCGTCGTCGCCCTCCTCCTTCTTCTCCTCCTCCTCCTCCTCCTCCTCCTCCTCCTCCTCCTCCTCTCCTCCTCTCTCCTCCTTTTCTGCTCTTCCCTTCTCCCTCCTTCTCCTGCTCTTGCCTCCCCCTTCGTTCTCCTCGTGGCCGGTCGTCCTCCTCCCCCTTCTCCTCCTCCCTCCTCCCTCCTCCCCCTTTCTTCGCCTCCTCTTGTCGTCTTCGTCCTCGTAGTCGTCGTCGTCGTCCTCCTCCTCCTCCTCCTCCTCCTCCTCCACCTGCGGCTACGTCATGATGAATGGCTCCCTGCATTTCCTGTGCTCCATCATCTCAGGGGTCGTTCAGGGGTGCCCGCTGTCCGGTACCGCATGGGCAGTGGCCATAGATGCGATCATCCGAGCAGGTACCAACATAGTCCCTGATTATTCTCGCGGTCTCGCCGCAGGTTGCGCTGACGATCTCGCTGTCATACTTCGCCACATTCGGTATCTACCACGGCTCGTACAGATTTTTGACGGGGCCTCCAGGCTGGGCAATCTCTCCTTGCAGCCGAAGAAATGCATCTTCATCCCACTTTGAGCGGACCTCTGCGACGAGCTGAAAGGATCGATGCGGCAGCATCTCCGTGACCATGCGCCAGGCTGGCAAGAGTTCATCATCGACGACGTGGGGAAGTATTTGGGTGCATCTGTAGGACCGGGAGCCAGTAACGACTTGCAGTGGGGCAATGCAGCTGCGAAGTGGTGGCGACGGCTCACCCTGGCCGCCGCGACTGCCGCTCCCGAAGACGTTAATGCCCGCCTGTGCGCGACCTCATGCTTGATTGTTCTTTCGTGCATGGCCCCATTTTTCCCCCTCCCGACGGAACTGATTGCCAAAGAGTTCCACGGCCTCCACAAGCTCTTGAAGATGGCGACCAGCACCTTCCAGTTGCAGGACATTCTCTCGTTTGCCAGCTGGTTCCCAATGACGGCCGTGCCATCGCTGAAGGCCACCGCGTTCGGCACCATGCGGAGGATGGCCAAGTTTACGCTACCCGGATGGCCTGCTGCATTCGACCGGTTCCGACTGGCGGCGGAGTCGTTTGTTGGGTTAGTAGACTGCAGCCATGGTCGTTGGTCTCCAGGCTTTTGGAAAACAAGTGAATCCAGAGTACAGCGCTTCCAGATTGCCATCGAGGGTCAGCCAGCGCTTGCTCCGCATGATCCGTCTAGGAACGCCGCCCGCTTCCTCTGCGGGAATTCGTGCGACCGCTGCATGAATTATGGTATCCAGCCAGGTTCCAGGTCACGCACCGGAAGCGGACTGCGGCTTGGCTGGGCCCACAGCAGGTCCCTCATGATCTGCGACGCCGGTGGCTGCACCTCAAGGAGCACCTGCGGACGTTGCAGCCCGCATGGCGTTGGATCATCGTTCGTACTTTGGCGGGCGGTTGGCATACCTCCTCTCGCATGCACGCCTACCCCACGAAGTTTACCTGCAGGTGGAGGGTGGTGACGGAGGGCATGGTCGACATTTCTCATTCCATTTCCTGTCGGCACGCCCCTGCCACGGAGCTTCCTACTTCCGGACCTGCTGCACCGCATCGGTCCCGGTAGGGATTATGACGACGGAGAGAACCCCCTGAGCGCCACATGCAGACGCCTCGTGCTGCTGCCGCGCGCTCGGGGCCTCGGGGCGCGCCGTCTGCTGGAGACTCTTCCGAGAGCTACCGTTGCTCCTCCTCCTCCTCCTCCTCCTCCTCCTCCACCTCCTCCCTCCATCGCTCCCTGCCTCCCTCTTTCCCCTCCCCCCCACTTCCCTTTGTCTCCTCATTATCGACCTCCTCGTCCTTCTCCCTCCTCATGCTCCTTCTCCTCCTGCCCCTCCCCCCCCCTCCTCCTTCTCCTCCTTCTCCTCCTCCTCCTTCTTCTCCTCCTCCTCCGCCTTCTCCTCCCCGTTCCTTTTTCTCCTCCTCCTCCTCCTCTGTGTGTGTGCGTGTGCGTGTTTGATGTTTTTGGCAGCTCTTTGGGCGCCGTTGGCTTACAGAGCCCTCTACAGGATCGTCCTCGTCGTCGTTGCGTCGTCATCATCGTCAGCGTCGTTGTCGTCGTCGTCGTCGTCGTCGTCGTCGTCGTCGTCGTCGTCGTCGTCGTCGTCGTCGTCGTCGTCGTCGTCCCTCTTCGACTCAGACCTCGCGGTCGTCGTCCCTCGAGAGGTGGGCGAGGAGGAGGAGGAGGAGGAGGAGGAGAAGGAGGAGGAGGAGGAGGAGAGGTTGAGCAACCAGGATCGTGATTTTGGGTCGTGCCTGGTTTTTCATCAAGCCTTCAGAGATGTCCAGAGATTTCCAGGGGTCTCTGGACCTGTCGGTCATTGTCCTCGTCGAAGTTGACACCCTCTGTCGTCGTCGTCGTCGTCGTACTCGTCCGTGGCCGCGGAGGTGACCGTCGTCGTCGTCGTCGTCGTCGCCGTCTTCGTCGTAGTTCTTCGGGCTCGGGGGCATGGGGAGGGCCTTTTTAATGTTTTTTAGTTCTTCGGGAGCTCGTGAGGCCTCCAGCCTCTGGAGGCCTCCGTGGTATTGCCAGGGCATCCAGGGACTTCCGAAGGCCGCCGCGGGCCTCTGCAGCTGGCCGTCGTCGTGGTCGTGGTCGTGGACGTGGTCGTCGTGGTCGTCGTGGTCGTCGTCGTGGCCGCGTTGTCGTCGTTGTTGTCCAACCTCCTCCTCCTCCTCCTCCTCCTCCTCCTCCTCCTCCTCCTCCTCCTCATTCCTCCCTCCCACCCACCCTCCCTTCCTCCCTCCCTCCTCAACCCCATCAACTCTACAGTCGTGGGTCTGTTGACTGGGGATGCCCGACATGCGGTGATCAAAAAGCTGGAGGTGGCCTTGATCGTTTCTGTGGTTTGGTCGTTTTCGCTTTGCCATCCCGCACAGCCTCGTACTTGTTCGTTTCTGGTGGAGCGAGGGAACACTGGTCAACCATGGAGGGGTTCATGACGGTATCCGTGTGTTCCGTCTGTTTCGCTTGGTTCGGTCTGCGTATTTGGTCGTGTCTCTTTTCTTCATGCTCGTGCTGCCCATGGCGGTCTGGGAGTGGCCCGCAGAGTGTTCAATCCAATGGGGGCGTCACGCTTTGAGCTGGAGTTGGCGGCAGCAGCTCGCATGTTCAAGTTTACTCATTGCGCCGCACACCTCATGTTCATACAGTGTTTCTTCGTGGTGGTCTCGGTAATCGTCGGTGTCGGTTCGGGGTCCGTGGAAGAGTCTTTATGCGTCGTCAGAGGTGCGTTCTTTTCTCATGTGTATCATTACGTGATGGCGGAATCCCTGGAATGCCTCCTCCTCCTCCTCCTGCTGATGCTGCTGCTGCTGCTGCTGCTCCTCATCCTCCTCCTTGTCCTCCTCCTCCTCCTCCTCCTCCTCCTCCTCCTCCTCCTCCTCCTCCTCCTCCCCCTCACCTATGCCACCGGGCCCCCTTCCAGGAAAACAGGCGGGTAGCAACCCGTTCATCACCCAAGTTTGCCCGTCGGAGGCCTGGGGGAGAGAAAATCGCTCCCTCGTCACCACGTCTGCGGCACCTTTGCGGTGGCCCACCAGGTACCCCGCCTGGGCTCGGGCGGCGCCGCGGCTCCCCTGCGTGACGGCTTCGACGACGAGGGCGACAGCGACGGCGACGACGCTGACGGCGGCGGCGACGACGGCTTCGACGACGACGACGACGGCTTCAACGACAGTTACGACGACGAAGATTTCGACGCGCGTCCTCCTCCTCCTCCTCCTCCTGTTCCGTCTCCTTCCTCCCTCTTTCTTCCTCCCTCTTCCGTCCTGCCTCTTCAATCTTCCCTACCCTTCCTTCCCCCTCCTTCCTCCTCCTCCTCAGCCTCCTCCTCCTTGTGCTCCTCTCGCGTGTGCTCAGTTTGGCCCGGGCCTCCTCCCTCCCTCCTCCTGCGCGGCTGTTCTCTATGATTTTCCACCCGCTTTAGTGCGCCCAGCGAACAAGCAGTGTGCTCAATGTGGTGTGTCATCGGATGCTGGCCAATCGCACCCACCCTCCAACAATGCTCGTGGGGTTGTTTGCCAGCGCCCCCGTTGCTTAGGATGTAACTTCTGGGAGGTTCAGGTCAGCATCGGTACTGGTATGTTCGTGTCTGGAAGCTGATCTAATCCAGCACAATTCGCTTTTGTTCCGCTCAATCTGGCGTATTGGGGCTTACTCTCAGGCTCCATCCGGCCCGATTCGGCTGAATGGCCTCCAATCGGATTCAGCAGCCCTTGATCGTTCTTGCGAAGACCTCCCATGTGCTGCCTCCCAACGCTGCAGGCTCGTTTTTAAGGTAGATCCTCTCGGCCCCATGAACCCTGAATCCCCAGGCCTCCCAGATGGGGTCGGAATAGATGGGGTCGGAGGATCGCGCCGCATCGCCGATGCATCGCCGATGCGGCTCGATGTGGACTCCGATTGTCTCTACGCCGACGTCACCGACGCATCGCCGATGTCGACGATACATCGCCGATGCGTCGCTGATGCGGCGCGATCCTCCGACCCCATATACTCGGACCCCATCTTGGAGGCCTCTAGAATCGCTCCTGCGAAGGACCTCCCAGGAGTTGCCTCCAAACGCTGCAGGCTCGTTGCTCCGGGCAGGTCCTCCCGGCCCAGCGCCGATCGTTTCCCGGAGGACGTCGCCCTCGCGGCGCCCCCGGGTGGGGTAGGGTGGGGGGAGGGGGGCCGGCCAGAGGCCCCCCCCAGTTCCTCCTGCCGCAGCTGCTGGCCTTGGTCGCCCCCAGCCAGCAGCCACCACCACGTGCGGCTGAGGGGGCATGATGTAGGCTTCCCATCTCCCTCCTCCCTCCTCCTCCCTCCTCCTCGCCCTCGTGCCTCCTCCTCCTCGCCCTCCTCCCTCCTCCTCCCTCCTCCTCCCTCCTCCTCCCTCCTCCTCGCCCTCCTCTTTCCTCCTCTTCCCCTCTCCCTCCTCCCTCCTCCCTCCTCCTCCCTCCTCCTCGCCCTCCTGCCCCTCCCTCCTCCCCGCCCTGTGTCGTCGGGCGCTGCACAACGTGGCTGACGGTTGACTGCCCCGTCTTTTCCTGTCCCCCGCCAGCGCGTTGCTTCACGTCGTGCTCAGGCAGCCTCCTCGCCCTCGGGCTGTCCTTGATTAGGGACGAGGCCTTTCAGGCCCTGCGCTTCGTATGGGTCGGTCGCGCCCAGGCGACGCGCTCCCTCCTCGTCGCCCCCTCCACCGCCCTCCTCTCCCCTCTGCTGCTCCTCCTCGTGCTCCTCCCTCTTCCTGCTCCTCCCTTGTCCTGCTCCTCCCTCCTCCCTCCTCCCTTTTCCTGCTCCTCCCTCCTCCCTCCTCCCTTTTCCTGCTCCTCCCACCTCCCTCCTCCTCCCTCCTTTTCTTCCCTCTCCTGCTCCTCCTTCTCCTCCTCTCCCTCCTCCTCCTCCTCCTCCTCCTCCTCCTCCTCCTCCTCCTCCTCGTCCTCCTCCCTCCCTGCTCCTCCCTCCTTCTCTTCCTCCTTCTCCTCTTCCTCCTCCTCCTCCTCCACCTCCTCGTCCCTCACTCTCCCTCCCCCCCTTCCTCCCTCCCTCCCTCCTTCCCTCCCTCCCCCCTCTCCCCCCTCCTCGTCCTCCTCGTCCCCGCGGAAGGCGGACCTCGTGGTCGTGGTCGTGGGGGACTCCAGTCGCGAGGGCCGCGACCGCCCCACCCTGGCGCTGCCGGGGTCGCAGGATGCCCTGGTGCGTGCCGTCGCCGCCGCGGCGGGCAGCAGGACTCTGGGCCTCGCTGGGGGCGGGCTGGGGAAGGGCGAGTGGGGCAGGAGGAGGAGGAGGAGGAGGAGGAGGAGGAGGAGGAGGAGGAGGAGGACCAGCATGATGAATGTGAGCATGCAGGTGAAGATGGAGATGGAAATGCGGCTGCTGCGGCTGAGTATTCTGCTGCTGCTGCTGATGAGGATGCTGCTGTTGATGATGCTGATGATGCTGATGACGATGATGATGATGATGCTGGTGATGATGATGACGACGATATGGTGGTGATGCTGATGGTGGTGGTGATCGTGATGGTGATGATGATGATGAGGATGACGATGGTGCTGGTGCTGGTGCTGGTGACGGTGGTGATGCTGATGACAATGTTGGTGGTGGTGATGCTGATGCTGATGCTGATGCTGATGATGATGACGACGATGATGACAACGACAATGGTGCTGCTGCTGATGATGAGTATACTGATGATGATGCTGATGATGCTGATGATGATGGTGGTGATGGTGGTGATGATGGTGGTGATGATGATGGTGATGATGATGATGATGATGATGAGGATGATGAGGATGATGATGAGGAGGTGGGTGAATGAGGAGGTGGAGGAAGGGGGAGGGAGAAGGAATAGAGTGATTGTGGGGCAGGAGGTGGTGGAGGAGGGGGAGGGGCAGGAAGAGGGGGAGCAGCAGTAGGAGAAGGAGTATAATGAAGAGGAGTATGATGCGGAGAAGGGTGAGCAGAAAGAGGGTGAGTGATGGGCAGGAGGAGCAGGAAGAGGGCAAGGCCAATTCGAAGAGGGGGAGACGGACATGGAAGAGGCGGTCGTCATGGGCCCCTAGGTGGTTCGCTGCGCCCCACGACGCGATTTGCGGCATGCAGCCGAACAGGGTCACAAGGATGCGTAGTTTTCCGAGGGCACCCTTTCACTCTTGCGTATCCTCGGCCCGTCCTCGGACTCTCCCGCCTGCGTTTTTTTCGCCCAGCAGGCTCCAGCTTGGGCGCCCAATGTCTGCATCTGGATAACGCCCCGCTGGGCTCCCTGGCCTCGTTCCCACAAGGTGCGGGCTCCGCGCACATCCTCTCCAGCAGAAGGCAGGGGCCCCGTTGGGCTGACGCATGCGTGCAGCAGCAGAAAAACGAGCGGCGACAGCAACCCCGACCACCACACACGACTTGCCTCGATCACCTCATCCTCGTTCCCCACCCGGCGGGCTGGGATAGATCTGAAGAGCGGACCTCCCGCCTCGCGCCTTTCTGCATGCCGCGGCCGTCAGGTCCCCAGGCGCCCGAATATCCCCGAGAATCCCGCCTCGCGCCACTCTGTATACCGCGGCCGCTTGATCCCCAGGCTCCCGAGTATCCCCGAGAATCCTGCCTCGCGCCATTCTGCATACCGCCGCCGCCAGATCCTCAGGTCCCCCGAGTGTCCCCGAGTGTCCCGCCTCGCGCCGACAAATCATAACATGCCAGAGCGGTTTTATACAATAACATAAAAATTGTACAGCGCAGCACGATACGGTATGACAGAACATAGCATAACACCACACCACTTTGCATACCACATCCGAGCGTTATATACCATATCATGACATAACATATCGCAACATAACACACCGTGACAGAGCCGTGCGTAACATAGCACGGCATCACAGCACTCATCATTTCATACCATGTCAAAGCAGACATGTCATAAGAAAACATTACAGGCCTGAACATACCAAACCATACCATGCCACAGCCTCACATAACATTGCATACCATATCACTACACAGCGCCGCATACCAACGCATGCGATGACATACAGGTGCAAACATACCATAACACACCACATTCTTCCATCACATATTCTGACATATTATGTCATACAATAACATACCATGACAGACCACACCATAACATAGTACAGCATCACATCCCATATTACACAACATGTATCATCGCAGCGCAGATGACACAGCATAGCATGACAGAGCGCGGCATAATATTTTACACCATGCCATAACATCAAATAACACAACACATTCATATATGCCATAATGGATCATGCAGAGTAGGGCACACCACAGCTCAGAACATTTCATACATAGCATAAACTACTACACCACGACATGCCATATCATACTATACCATACCATGTCAAAACATATCACACCGTAGCACAGCATAAACGCACATGCCATTCCATATTATGACACATCATACCATGACATAGCGCGGCATACCACCTTGTAGCATCGCGTAGCAACATATGTCATACAAGAATAACACAACAACGCATAATATTGCATAACCTACCGGAGCAGGACATACTAGAACACATCATACAAACGCATGCAATGACATCATGGAGCATGCAGATCAACAACACACCACACATGAAGAACGAACAGCACACCAAGACATAGCGTAACATAACAAATCATATCATTTCACACAGTGGCTCCACATAACATAAACATGACACATAATGGTAGCATACATAGCATGGCAAATCATTTCATCACAACATAATCTACTGTATTACAATATGATCAAACGCCACGTCCGAGCCGAGGTCAGCCTGGCCACAGGAGCAAACAGTCGCAGCGACAAAGGATCGGACGACGCATCTATCTTGACAGGCGTCACGGCGTCACTCCGGCCCGTCGAGAACAGAACAGACAGAGTAGAGTGCAACGTGATATAATATTTTCAAACCAGCACGATATAACACATAGAGCACACTGTAACCATCATAACAGAGCAGAGTTGTCCTACTACTGCTACCCCTACGTGAACGATTCAGATATACCATGATTGGCGGGAAAAATCATGTACTACAACAAACTGATCGTACCCTAAACAGTTCACAGCTAATAACATAAGGTAACCTAGCCTGACAGAAACTACGTATCATGACATAACGGGGTGCCATAGAGCAGAGCACATCATATCATAGCAAGTCTTACAATGACAGAGGTGAGCATACCAGAGCATATTTTAACATAGGATAACTATGAACTTGAAGAGGACCTTCATAACATAATTGGCCATACCGCAACATGATCAAACGCGACGTGCGCGCCGAAGTCAGCCTGGCCACAGCTACAGACAGGCGCAGCAACGAAGGATCGGACGACGTATCTATCGTGACCGGCGTCACGGCGTCACGCCGTCCCGTCGACAATATAACAGTTCATATTGTAATCGCAGAATATAGCCCTATCCAGCATGACATACTGGAGCACTGTTAAGTACAGCAACGACAACTACGGGCGCACTGTCAAACGCCGCATCCGCTCCTGGCCACACGAAAAAAGCAACGGGAACGACGGATTCGACGACATATGAAACGCGACAGGCGTCGTGACGTCACGCCGCCCTGCCGAGAGCAGAGCACAAACAAACATATGTGCATAGAACAGAGAGGAACCGAACACAGCGTGATAGAGTGGAAGTCAGCAGAGACCGAGCACTCCTGGCCTATCATACGTGACATGCAGGCCAAGCCCAGGCTGGCCACAGCAACAAACAGTAGCAGCAACCACCGATTAGAAGCCATAGCAACCGTGAAAAGCGTCACGACGTCACGCCTGCCCGCCCACAACATAACATCACATAACATAGCGTCACATACGACACTGGGCCAGAGTCGAACCGAACATGATACAACACAGTATAACGTATACGCCACCCACCACTTCACAGCGTCTCATCTAACGCGACATGCGCCCGGGGCGTCTGGAGCATGGGAGGGAAGGGGAGGTCCGCCTCACCTCCTCCTCCTCCTTCGTCGTCCCCCCCCTCCTCGTGCTGCTGCTGCTGCTCCTCCTCCTCCTCCTCTTTCAACAGGTTGCGTAGTCTCTCCGAACAATTTTTGGCGTCTCGCAAGAGTCGTTTTGGGGGATGGTTTGTCGCTCCAGGGACGTGTTTCGGTTTCCTTCGTCATGGGCCCTGGGGTTGTTAGACTTTCGGAGAACGTCAACTTGCGACCTGGCCCGGCCGCCGCGCTGGCCGAGATTGCCGGGCCCCGCGCACATCGTTCCAGTAGGCGCGCGCACCGTTGGGAACAAACGCCGAAGGTTTCGGTGGGGATCGCTCGAAGCAACATATTTGTTTTCCTGGGCGATACTGGCCGCAGGCAGGAACTCAGTATAGCTCTCGCAGCCCTTCGCATCCCCTCGGGACTGTGCTCACCAGCCTTTGCAAGCTCGACGCGTCTGTGGCCCGCCAGCCGTTGCAGCCGATGATGTCTGCCCCCAGGACGGTGGTTGCGTGCATCAGCCCCGGTGCCGTGCTGCTGCCCTGGGCCGAGGAGGTGTCGGCCCTGCTGCTGCTGCTGATGCCGGGCCTCGAGGTCGGCAGCGCCCTGGCCGACCTGCTGTGGGGCGAGGTCAACCCCAGCGGGCGCCTGCCCGTCACGATGCCCAGCCGCGACAACGAGGTCAATTTCAACGCGGCGATGTTCCCGGGCGTGGACGGGCGATCCACGTACAGTGAGCGGCTGCTGGTCGGCTACCGCTGGTGCTGGGGAAACCAAGCGGGCATCAATATTGCCACTCTGGACCTATCCTGGGATGCGTTCTGACTAGAATCTCGAGGCGAATCCAGCCGTGGCGACGAGGGCGTACCAGGAGGCCCCCAGAAAGCGAGAACGAGTCGGCCGTTGCTGCCGACCTTGAACGATAACGTCCACGACGAACCATGATATGTCACGTCTGACGCACTTCGTTAGAGGAACTGCACTGGCACTTGGATTCGGACAGGGGGATTGGAGCGTGGTTGACGGCGGGTAGGTGCTTCACCTACGGATCTTGGTGTCAGAGGGATCTCCCCCCCCTGGCAAAGGGGCGATTAAAGCGAAGGAACTTCTCTTCGAGTCAGGGATCGTCCCAGGGAGGCCGTCGTATCTTCCCCCCCTCCCCCCGGGACCTCTTCCTGGACTCCCCCCCCTCTTCGGCGGGGGAGTGACATCAAGGGAAGGGGCTCCCCTGCGATTGAATCACGACGTTGATCAATTCCATTGCCCGGATCGCCCCAGGGAGGCCGTCGTATTTGTTGCCCCCCCCTCTCGGGACTCCTCCCGGGGCCCCCCGCTTCCCTCCAGCGAGGGAGGGATGAATGGAAAGGGACTTCCACTCGATTTCATTACGAAGTCAATCAAGTCCACTGCCCGGAATCGCTCCAGGGAGGCCGTCGAGGGGCCACTCCCCGAGACCGCCCGGTCTTTGGAGAGCTCGGAGGGCACTGAGGGCACTCGGAGTCTTCCTGTAGCTCCCCTTCGAGCCGATTCAGGCGTTGCTCATTTCCGCTGTGGATGTGGCTGGCGCGCTGAGTCTGTGCGTTCTGGCGGGGACGAGGCTGGTGAAACGGTGAGGGAGGCCGTCGAAGTTTCGCTAGAGGAGGAGAGGCTTCCGAAGGCGCCCAGGGAGGCCCTCCTGTCGACTGTCGATTCAAGTACGACGTTGCTCGAGTTCGCTGTGGCTGTGGCTGGCGCGCTGGAGGAGGAGAACTTGGAAAGGAGGGGGGGAGACAGCGATCACGGCGAACGAGTGACGGAGGTGACGACGCGAACGGAGAAGCCCCTCACACACGCCGACAGGGTCGGCGCATTTTTAGGTTGTCGCAGGGCTGTGTCAGGGATTTGGAAATTGGAGGGCTGGTGATGGCGCCGGGGGGACCGAGAAGTGGTTCTGACGGTTAGCGGCATCGGTACCTTTTCCTCCCCTGAGGTACGACGCCCACGGGGTGGCTCCGCGCTACCCTTTCGGCCACGGCCTGTCGTACACGCGCTTCGAGTACCACGGCCTGGCCATCGACGCCGCGGCGCTCGTCGTGAACTGCAGCGTCGCGAACGCTGGGCACCGCGCCGGCTCCGAGGTGGCGCAGCTCTACCTGGCATTCCCGGCCCGTGCGGCGTCGCCCCCGCAGCAGCTCAGGCCGGCAGCGCGCGGGATGGGCGCGAAGGGATCGCCGAAGGCCGGCGCGAAGGCCGCCGAAGGCCAGCGCAAAGGCCGAAGAGGGCAGCCGGAGGCCGTCGCGACGGCCGCCGCCGTCGTCGGGGCCTCCGCCGTGTGCTGCCGCACGCACGGCGGGCGGCCTTGCCGAGAGGTCAGGGCGGGGGGCTTTCTGCCTTCTCGGAAGACCCAGCTGGTTCGCCCCGACCACGATCCGTCCAAAGCCCGTCCCTGGAGCCCGCCTGGGGGCCATCCTGGCCAGCTTTTCCAGCTGCGCCCAACCGTGGCGGCAAGAATCTCCACGAAGCGGCGCAAAGGTCCGAAACTGACGCCGCCTTCGCCTTCGTCGTCGTTGTCGTTCTAAGTTTTGTGCGAGAGCCTTTGGCACCATGGGTTGAATATCGGCTGCAGTTGACCTTTACTCGAGGTGTAGATGATGACGGCTAACCACGACTGGTGTCGTCGTCGTCGTCGTCGTCGTGGCCGCCGCCGCCGCCGTTGCCGCCGCTGCCGCCGCTGTTGTCGTCGTCGTCGCCGCCGCTGCCGCCGCTGCCGCCGCTGTTGTCGTCGTCGTCGTTGTCGTCGTTGCCGCCGCCGCCGCCGCCGCAGCCGCCGTTGCCGGTGTCAGCGACGACATCGGCGGTGGCGTCGGCCTCGGAGGTGTCAGCGACGTCGTTGGCGTCGGCGTCGGCGGCGTCGTCGGTGTCGAAGTCGGCATCGTCGCCGCCGTCGCCGTCGTCGTCGTCGTCGTCGTCGTCGTTGTCGTCGTCGTCGTCGTTGTCGTGGGCGGCGGTGGTGGCGGCGGCGACGGCGGCGGGTTCGTCGTCGTCGTCGTCGTCGTCGGCGGCGTCGTCATCCGTCGTCGTCGTCGTCCGTCGTTTGTCGTCGGTGTCGTTGTCGTCGTCGTTGGCGGCGGTGGCGGCGGCGTCGTCGTCGTCGTCGTCGTCCGTCGCCCCCCGCCGCTCGCCGCCGATCAGGGGCTTCGTCAAGACCCGCGTGCTGGCGCCAGGGGAGAGCGCCGAGGTGTCCTTCCGCCTGCGCGCGCGCGACGTGTCCGCGTACGACCCCGCGTCGCGGGAGCGCCCCCCTGCGGCTCCGAGCGCCGCTTTTTCCTGAACAGCGTGCCGCCAGAGGCTTCTGATAGTTGTTCAGCAAAGGCCACAGAAGAGTTCCACAGGGGGGACGTGGAGCCTCGGGACCGCCCGATCCGGCAGCCGTTTCGTTCGAGACTTCCTCACATTCGATTCTGGAAACGTGCTCTTGCCTCAAAGCCAGCTGCATCGTTGGTCCCGACGGCCACGGTCCCTCGTGAAAGAAGATTGAGGTGCAAATGGCAAGATTGCAATGCACATGACAGTGCGTTTCCTAGGATCCCCTAGGAATGCATAGGAATGCGCGTTTTCACAAACCAACCTCCTCCTCGTCCTCGTCCTCGTCCTCCGGGTTGACGGCCGCGAACGGCCCCCGGGCCGGCAGGGAAAAACCTCCCGAGACGGCGCATTGGACCCCACACGAAAAACAGAGAATGATGGCCCCCGGTGGGAGTGGAAGAAGCGGGGAGTCACACACCCGATCGATACCCCAAACAACGACAAAAACACTGAAACCCACCCCAGAAAGACAACCACACATCCGTTATTTGGGGCCTATGCTACTCCACTTCCGCCACCCACCCACCCGCGACCAGGCCAGCCCGCTGCCCCCCTCTGCGTTCCAGCAACAACCCCCGCCGCGAAGGGGTTTGAGGGGAGCAGGCAACCAGAGGAATCCGGCGCCGGGCGCAGTGAGTTTGCTCCCCCCAGATGGTCCTTAAAGAAGGCCATCGGCGCTCGGGCCATCGGCCCGGAAGCGCGGCAAAACGAACGCCCAAGCCGGGCTGTCCGTAACGCTGGAACCAAGGAGGGTGGACGCGGGACCAGCGCAGGCCGCGACACCGTTGTGCCCCAACTCATTTCTTTGCGTGTCGTCGATGCGCAGGGGCCAGACTAATCTATTGAGACACGCAACCACACATGAATTCACAAAGTCATATGTTGGGTGCTTCGTTGTTGGGTTTCCAGTGCGCACGTCGAACATCGCACCTGATTCACCGAACTGCCTCAACCGGCTACTTAGGGTCCACTACGGGCACCACATCGGAAGCACACGAACACTTAGACAGAATAAGCCGGGTCGCCTGGACCATGGGCACTCCCGGCCTGCCCTCCGGATGGGGCCGAGAGGGAAAGAGCCGTAGCCCCAACCGCCCTCTCTGGCATGGAATCCGGGGAGGTTTGAGCAGTCCCGCCCCCGCACTCACAATAAGACCAGGAGAAGGTCATCCGCCAGCGCCCGAACATACAGCACAAGTCCCCTCCCCGAGCATAACCCGTTAGGGGGCGCCCTCCTGGGGAGGGCGTGGGTTAGCCGTACCCCTTGGGGGATACGTTGCCCCTGACGCGGCCGCTCAGCCACTGGGGGATCAACAGTGCGGCCGCCAAACCGAACCCCTGGCCCCCGCGCCCCTCCAGGAGAAGGAGGGGGAGGAGGGGAGAGAGGAGGAAGGGGAAAGAAGGAGGGGGAAGAGGGGGAGGGGGACACAACGAGGGCCGGGGGGTGGTTTGATACGGCCGCCTTGTCAACCCCCCAAACGCATCGACTTAGACTCCTGACTGTGAGAACCGTTGACAGGCCGAGACTCGTGGAGGCCTCTGCTCTATGCGTCAGACCAAAACCTCCTCCTTGACCCGCCTCTCCACCTTTGCTGCTGCTGGGGTGCTTTGCTGGGGTATTTTTTCTGCTGTTGCTCACCGGGCGTCCTCGCCCGGACTCGGGCCCCCTGGCCTGCTCGGCCACACTTGGGCCGGGCGTTGCCCACGGCGCGTCTGGCCTTCGAGGTGCCCCCAGGACTTCAAGCCCAGACGTGACTGCGTTGTGAAAAAATCCGGACGGCAGGTTTTGGTCGTTTTCGGCCTCGGCGAGCCGTCGCGGGGCCTCGGGACCGTTAAAAAAGGGCACGGGACGAAAATCCGGTCCCAGGGAAAGGGTCTGGACGTCCAGGGGCCCCGTATTGAAAAAATCAGGACGAAGCATGTCCGGGTGGGCCCAGAGGGCCCCAGGGTGCGCAGCGTGGTGCGACAGGCTGGGGGGCCTCTTGGGGGCCAGGACCACTTCTGGCAGCACCCGCGGAGAGGTGGTGTTTCGCCAGAGTGCCCTTCGGTGCGCGGCTCATCGGCTGGCGCGCAGGAGGGGCCCAAGCCCAGGCACGCAGGCCGCTGCCGTCACATCGCTTGCAGCTATCGGCATGCCGCGCGCCAGAAGGCACTCGTGCCTGGGGTCACTTCCTGCGTGTCGCCGACCCACACAAGTCGATCTGGCTCGAGTGGTGCCGCGGAAGGTTGGGGGTTACGGGTTCCAGTCGTGATGTTGCACGATGCTTATGTTTGCCCGCGGCGCAATATATGCTCGCGTCCACTGTGCTCGCGTCACACAAGGGCTCTGCACTGGAGCGGCGGTCATGAGTCATGGCCGACACGGGGTCGCGTAGCCCCGCTGGGTCACGGGGCCAACACTGGGCCACAGCAGCCCCGTTGGGCTCCCGATGGCTCCCCCGGAGGGCTCCCGAGAGGGGTCACGCAACTTGCCCGCCAACACGGGTGTGTGACCGAGGGAGCAGCTGCTTTCTTGCAAGGGGCCGCTGCTTTCCTGTTGGGGGCCGCTGCTTTCTTGCTACCTGGCGGGACCTCGGGGTCAACTCACGGGCACGGTGAGGAAGCCACTATCTCGTGGTGCGGGTCGTCGCCGCCGCGACAGAAGACAGAACAACAATACGGGTGTGTGACCGCCGCATGTTGGCGACGCCACAAAATTGACGCGGCAGGGCTCTGCCCAGGCCTCCTGGGGATCTGGCATCCCTCCATCACGGCGCTCTTTCTCCCTGACCTCGGCCTCCGCGGGCCCTGTCCTGGGCCCCGGGGCAGTGCAGAGTGGGCCCGGGAAGGGAAGCTGCCTCCGGGGCACGGGGTCGGGACCCCCTGTGTGCCGCGGGCTGGCAAAACAGGCGCCCTCCTCGACGCCGAGAGTCGTCGAGGGTCGTCGCAGTCGCCGTCGTCCCTCCTCCCTCCTCCCGCCTCCCTCCTCCATCCTCCCTCCTCCCTCCCCCTTCCTATCCTCCTCCTCTTTCATCTCCATCTCCTCCTCCATCACCTGACATGCGACGTCTTGATTTTTGTTCAACACGGGGTCCCTGGAAATCCCGACCCTTTCCCCAGGGCAGGTTTTCGTCCTGAGTCGTTTCTCTTGACGGTCCCGAGGCCTGGCGAGGGCTCCCAGGGGCCGAAAACGGCCAAAAACCGTCAGTTTTTTTGGTATAAAGACGCGATCATGTTTAGGGTTCTTGCTCCCCGAAGAGACCTCGCGCGCCCTCCCTGAGATCCGACGTAGCAAAAAAGATGCAACATCGTAAAAAACTGCACCCAGAGCCCTAAACCCCGTCTTTCTGCGTCAGTTTTCGAGCCGGACCGATCTGTGAGGGCCCCGTGGCCCGCAAAACGGGGAAAACGCCCGTCTCGAAAAAATCGAGACGCCGGGACCTCAAGGCAGATGGGGTCGAGGATCGCTCCGCGCCTCCGACAGCGAAGGAGGAGCTGGTCCCAGGGACGACGCGATCATGTTCGGGCCTCCTTCTCCATCCACAGAGATCCGAAGTCGTGATTTTTTCAATACGGGGTCCCTGGAAGTCTCGACCCATTCCCGAGCACCGGATTTTCCCCCTGAGTCGTTTTTGTTGCCGGTTCCGAGGCCTGGCAAGGGCCCTTCGAGATCGAAACTTGTGAAAAAACCTCCGCCAATGCGTTGGATCTCGGGGTCTCTGGATCGTTGGATCTCTGGGTCTCTGGGTCTCCATCTCCATGCGTTGGATCTCTGGGTCTCCATCGCGTTGGATCTCTGGGTCTCCATCTCCATCACATTGTCCGTACGTCTGGGTGCACACCTCCGGCGCGCCTCCGCCGGGCGGGCCGTGGCTGGCTCTAGCTACACGCCGTGCTGGGGCTCAGGATTGCTCCGGCCAGGCGCGGTGGTGTTGGTCCAAGACCCCCTCGCGTTGTGAGGAACTCGCGACGGCCAAAATCCTCTCCTCCTACGTTCAGTTGTGTCCGAATGCCTGGTGCTCCCTCCCCAGACATGCGACGTGCTGATTTTTGTCAACACGGGGCCCCTGGAAGTCCCGACCCTTTCCCCCAGGATTGCTTCTCCGTCCTGAGTCGTTGCTTGACGGTCCCGAGGCCCGGCGAGGGCCCCCAGGGGGCGAAAACAGCCCAAATCCTCCCCTCCTACGTTTTTTGGCGACGCGACCATGTCTGGGTCGACCGCGTCGCCCTCGACCTGCCCCTCCCGCAGCTTCTGCGCGGCAGGTGCCGCCGCCGGGGCCGCAGCGGCAGCCTCGGAGGCCATCGCCGCCACGCCGCGGCGGCACCTGCGGCGCGGGGGGCGCGGAAGGTGCAGGCCGAGGGCGCCGGATGGGTTCTCCACGGCGGCGTGCCAGTGACCCAGACCCCCCGCGTGGTGAAGAAATCACGACGGGAGGGTTTCTGCTCTTTTCGGCTTCAGGGGGCAACTGCTGGGCTTCGGGAGCGGCAAACAACGACTCTGGATGAAAAACCGGTCCTGGGGAAGTGGTCCAGACCTTTTGGGGGTCGGCGCTGCCAACAAAAATCACGACGTCGGGGGTTTGGGGGTTCCTGTTTCCCGAGCCCAGACATGCGACGTCCTGATTTCTTCAATGCGGGGTCCCTGGAAGTCCCGACACTTTCCCCGGGACCCGTTTTTTATCCTAAGTTGTTTCTTGACGGCCCCGAGGCCTAGCGAGGCCCCCCGAGGGGCCAAAGACGGCCAAAAACCTCCCGTGCACGCCGCGACCATGCTTGGGATTCCTGCCCCCCGCGGCAGGAGTGGGCCGTGGTGCCCGGCGAGTTCGAGGCTCGCGTCGGGGCTTCGTCCCGGGACGCCCGGCTCGTCGGCAGGTTCCGCCTCGGCGCGGCGGGGGCCCTGGTGGTGTAGGCGGCCTCGACCCCAAGAAGTGGCTTCTGTGCGCCAGGAACCGAGAGGGAGGAAGAGCACCCAGACATGATCGCGTCGTGACAGAAATCAGGGCGGGAGGTTTTTGGCCGTCTTCGGCCCTTGGGAGCCCTCGCCGGGCCTCGGGGCCGTCAGAAAGCGACTCAGGGTGAAAAACCGGTCCCGGGGAGAGGGTCGGGATTTCCGGGGACCCCGCATTGAAGAAATCAGGACGTCGCGCGTTTGGGTATCAATGACATGTTGCCGTTGGTGGTTCGTCGTTGTGTGTCTTGGCCTCCCAGATTGGGTCGGAGTAGGTGGGGTCGGAGGATCGCTCCGCATCGCCGATGCATCGGCGATGCGACTCGATATGGAGCCAGGTTTGATCAACGCCGACGTCGCCGATGCATCGCCGACGTCGCTGATGCGTCGCCGATGCATCGGCAATGCGTCGAAGATGCCGCCCGATCCTCCGACCCCATCTCGCTACTTTGAACCCATCTGGGAGGCCTCTAGTGCTAATCCCGTTCGTTGTTGTCCGAATGCCCGGTGCTCCCTCCCCAGACATGCGACGTCTTGATTTTTGTCAACACCGGGCCCCCCCAGACATGCGACGTCTTGATTTTTGTCAACACCGGCAAAGGGTCGACCCTTTCCCCCAGGGTTGCTTCTCCGTCCCGAGGCCCGGCGAGGGCCCCGGGAGCCGAACAAATCCTCCCCTCCTACGTTTTTTGGCGACGCGACCATGTCTGGGTCGACCGCGTCGCCCTCGACCTGCCCCTCCCGCAGCTTCTGCGCGGCAGGTGCCGCCGCCGGGGCCGCAGCGGCAGCCTCGGAGGCCATCGCCGCCACGCCGCGGCGGCACCTGCGGCGCGGGGGGCGCGGAAGGTGCAGGCCGAGGGCGCCGGATGGGTTCTCCACGGCGGCGTGCCAATTTTGCTGCCCCAGACCCCCTCGGGCAATGACAACAAATCACGACTGGAGGTTTGTCCTTATCCTCGGCTTCGGCAGGCCCTTGCCGGCCTTCGGGGCCGCAAAGAAAGGACTCGGGACGAAAAAGCGGTACCAGGGGAATGGGTCGAGACCTCTGAGGGTCGACGTGATGGACAAAAATGATGACGTCGGGGGGCTGGGGTTCCTGCTCTTCGAACCCAGACATGCGACGCCCTGATTTTGTGAAGACGGGGCCCCTGGAAGTCCCGACACTTTCCCCGGGACCGGTTTTGCGTCCCGAGTGCTTTTTTCACGGTCCTCCGAGGCACGGGGAGGGCTCGCCGAGGCCGGAGACGGCCCAAAGACCTGCCGTCCTGCTTTTTTGCAAGACGCAGTCACGTCTGGGCTCGGAGGTCCTGGGGACACCTCGAAGGCCAGAGGCGCTTTGGGCAGCGCCCGGCTTTCGTGTGGCCGAGCAGGCCAGGGGGCCCGAATCCAGGCGAGGACGCCCAGAGTGCAACAACAACAACAACAACAATCACTTTACCCGAACGCTCAGTGTTCTCACCAGTGCCAGGGTTTTCATGCGACGCCAGCCAATACCCCCACTTTGTGGGGGGGCAGTGCAAGCTCTACCAAATATCCACACGACTCTTCGCCACCACCCACACCCAGCTTCCCGCCCTATGACGTTCGGACACTTCACTTCGTGGCCTGCGGACGACCGTGGCTACTACACTGGCGTGGAGTACACACCCACAGAAGTTGTTAGGACAGCGCGCGCGGGTAGAAATTTTGAAAAGTCGTGCAGGTGTTTTTCGAGGACCTACGGTGCGATTCGTGTGATTTTATGATGCGCGGTGCTAAAATTCTTAAGAAGCCCAATGGTTTTTGGAGATTTCGGCGTGCGCGCGCGAAGAAAAAACGAATGTGTCCCGCATGGTATTATTTGACAGGGATGATGGCCCTGGCAGGTGCGCAACCGTTGTCGCAGAAGTTCGAAAAAGTTGCTCGCAAAAGCCCGTTTGACAGAAATGTTTAAAAAGTGTTGGGTTTCCTACGAATCCGCAAGAGCGCGCGGGATGAGATTTTGACATTTTTTGTTGAAAAACCATTGGTTTTTTGATGTTTTTATGTTAAAATCGCTGCGAACACTAAGGTTTTGGAAGGATTTCGTCTTGCGCGCGCGAATGTCCACTTTACCTTATTTTTTGCAAGGGATTCTTGAAATTTGATTATATTAGAACAAGAAATGTCATTTTATAGTGTTTTTTGCAAGGGAAAGCGGATTACAACAAAACAACCGGATCTTGATCACATCGAATTACCTGAGGCTTCCTCACGAAAATGATGAAAATGTAGCTGCGGCCTAGGCGGCGCAGGGGGGCCGTGCACCAGGGGTCCCAACAATAATTATTCTTTAGAATTAATAATGTTCAACAACAACAACACACAACAACAACAACAACAACAACAACAACACAACATTTTACCCGAACGCGTGGTGTTCTCCCCAGTGCCAGGGTTTTCATACGACACCAGGCAATACCCCCACTTCGTGGGGGGGCATTACAAGCTCTACCAAATATCCAAACGACTCTTCGCGACCACCCAAACCCAGCTTCCCGCCCTATGACGTTGGGACACTTCACTTCGTGGCGTGCGGACGACCGTGGCTACTACACTGGCGTGGGGTACACACCCACAGAACTTGGTCACTTATTCGGGGTCGTGTGATTTTATGATGCGCGGTGCTAAAATTCTTAAGAACCCAATGGTTTTTGGAGATTTCGGCGTGCGCGCGCAAAAAACGAATGTGTCCCGCATGGTATTATTTGACAGGGATGATGGCCCTGGCAGGTGCGCAACCGTTGTCGCAGAAGTTCGAAAAAGTTGCTCGCAAAAGCCCGTTTGACAGAAATGTTTAAAAAGTTTTTTCCTACGAATCCGCAAGAGCGCGCGGGATGAGATTTTGACATTTTTTTGTTGAAAAACCATTGGTTTTTTGATGTTTTTATGTTAAAATCGCTCCGAACACTAAGCTTTTGGAAGGATTTCGTCTTGCGCGCGCGAATGTCCACTTTACCTTATTTTTTGCAAGGGATTCTTGAAATTTGATTATATTAGAACAAGAAATGTCATTTTATAGTGTTTTTTGCAAGGGAAAACGGATTACAACAAAACAACCGGATCTGGATCACATCGTTTTACCTGAGGCTTCCTCACGAAAATGATGAAAATGTAGCTGCGGCCTAGGCGGCGCAGGGGGGGCGCGCACCAGGGGGCCCAACAATAATTATTCTTTAGAATTAATAATGTTCAACAACAACAACAACAAAAAAAAAAAAACATACCCCAGCAAAGCACCCTAGTAGCAGCAAGGGTGGAGAGGCGGGTCTTAAGGAGGAGGTCGGCTAGTGAAAACGCGCAGTCCCATGCATTCCTGGGGGATCCTAGGAACCGCACTGCCATGTGCACCTCAACGTTTTTTCACGAGGGACCGTGGCCGTCGGGACCAATGATCTAGCTGCTTTTCAGGCAAGAGCACGCTTCCAGAATCGAATGTGAGGAAGTCTCGAACGAAACGGCTGCCGGACCGGGCGGTCCCGAGGCCTGGCGAGGGCCCCCCGAGGTGCCGAAGATAGCCAAAGACCTCCCGTCCAGATTTTGTTCACGCCGCGGTCATGTTTGGGGTTCCTGCTCCCCGGAGGGACCTCGCGCGCCCTCCTGAGGTCCGACGAGGCCAACAAGTTGCAGCATCGTGCAAATTGACGCCTAGAGCCCTAGACCCTATCTTTTGGCGTCTTTTTTCGAGCTGGATCGATCTGTGAGGGTCCCGGGGCCCGCAAAAACACGAAAACGCCCGTCTCGAAAAAATCGAGACGCCATGATCTCAGGGCAGATGAGGTCAAGGATCGCTCCGCATCTCCGAAAGCGAAGGAATAGCCGGTCCCGCGGACGACAACGACGACAACGAGGCCGACGACGTCGACGAGGCCGACGACGACGAGGCCGACGACGACGATCCTGACGACGACGACGACGCCGCCGCCGACGACGACGACGACGACGACGACGACGACGACGACGTCAGGATCTCAGGGCTGCTCGTCGGCAGGCGGGCAGGGCCTGAGCCCGACCTCCGCGGCGCGCTCTCGCGCGGCTCGCCTCCCTGCGCGGGGGCGACCCGAGGCGGGTGTGATGATGGGTCCTCCTCCTGCTCCTCCTCCTCCTCTTCCTGCTGCTCCCGCTCCTCCTCCTGCTCCGCCTCCTCTTCCTGCTGCTCCCGCCTCTGTTCCTGTTCCTCCCCCTCCTCTTGCTCCTGCTTCTGTTCCTGTTCCTCTTCCTCCGCCTCCTCCTCCCCCTCCTCTCTTCCTCCTCCTCCTCCTCCGCCTCCTCCTCCTCCTCCTCCTTCTTCTCTTTCTCCTCCTCCTCTTCCTCCTCCTCCTCGTGCTCCTCCCCCTCCCCCTCCTCCTCCTGCTCCTGCTCCTCCTCCTGCTCCTGCTCATGCTCATCCACCTCCTCCTCCTCCTTCTCCTCCTTCTCCTGCTCCTGCTCCTGTTCCTGTTCCTGAGCCTTACATTTGCGGCGCGCTCGCACTGCTCGCCTCTCAGCTCGAGGGCGCCCGAGACCCAGACCCCCCTCGCGCGGTGGAGAAATCACGACGGGAGGTTTTTCGATTTGTTCGGCCTCCGGGGGGTCCTCACCTGGCGTCGGGAGCGTCAAAAAACGACTCCGGATGGAAGACTGGTCCCGGGGACGGGCTCCAGACCTTTCGGGGTTGAGGCGTTGTTCTTGCTCCTCGGGAGGAGGAGGGGGAAGAGGAGAAGGAGGAGGAGGAGGAGGGGGAGGACCAGTGTAAACCCAGGACTCATCAACGATGTTGGAATTAACCCTCCCTCCAAGCTTCCTGTTGTCTTCATAGGCCCCTACAGCAGTTCATTACCATTGAGGGAACTGCCTCGTTGAAGGACAACCGTTTGAAGACCTTTAAGCATGCCAAAACAGTGTTTTTGGGATTTCCACGCCACGGATCAACCAGAGACTGCTGCGTCCTGACGATCTGGAATCGTGCCAGAACGCCATTTCTGGACTTCCACACCGCGAATCAACATAATTGTTGCACCCACATAAGCCTGAATCCTTCCAAAACCATGCCTGGTACGTTGGTCATGGAAATCAACTCTTATAACTGTTTAAAACGAATGTGCGCGGCGCTACGGCGAGAGCCACATTTTTTAAAGGAACCTCCCTCAATCCGTGAAGCGCTCTTACAATTTTTCCCAACCCTCCTTGGTTGGGTATTCGTTTTGAATAGAGCAGTGTGGTCGCGTCCTTCCTCCTCCCGCCTCCCGCCTCTTTCCTGCCTCTTTCTGTCTTGCCTGCGGGGGGCTGCGATCTGTGAAACTGTCGCCACTTTCGAGGCCTGCTGGGGGGCCCAGCACAGTGAGGGCGACGCGCGGACCCAAATTAGACCTCGCCATTCCTGGGGGGCTGCGATCTGTGAAACTGTCGCCACTTTCGAGGCCTGCTGGGGGGCTCAGCATAGAGGGTAATCGCGGCAGATTCAAATTAGACCTCGCCATCCCTGGGGGGGGGGGCTGCGATCTGTGAAACTGTCGCCACTTTCGAGGCCTGCTGGGGGGTCCAGCATAGAGGGTAATCGCGGCAGATCCAAATTAGACCTCGCCCTCCCTGGGGGGCTGCGATCTGTGAAACTGTCGCCACTTTCGAGGCCTGCTGGGGGGTCCAGCATAGAGGGTAATCGCGGCAGATTCAAATTAGACCTCGCCATCCCTGGGGGGATGCGATCTGTGAAACTGTCGCCACTTTCGAGGCCTGCTGGGGGGTCCGGCATAGAGGGTAATCGCGGCAGATTCAAATTAGACCTCGCCATCCCTGGGGCTGCGATCTGTGAAACTGTCGCCACTTTCGAGGCCTGCTGGGGGGTCCAGCATAAAGGTTAATCGCGGCAGATTCAAACTAGACCTCGCCATCTCTGGGGGGCTGCGATCTGTGAAACTGTCGCCACTTTCGAGGCCTGCTGGGGGGTCCGGCATAAAGGGTAATTGCGGCAGATTCATATTAGACCTCGCTATCCCTGGGGGGCTGCGATCTGTGAAACTGTCGCCACTTTCGAGGCCTGCTGGGGGGTCCTGCATAGAGGGTAATCGCGGCAGATTCGAATTAGACCTCGCCATCCCTGGGGGCTGCGATCTGTGAAACTGTCGCCAGTTTCGAGGCCTGCTGGGGGGTCCAGCATAGAGGGTAATCGCGGCAGATTCAGGCTTGCCCCGTCCGGACCCGCAGCGCAGGGGCGGGGTAGCGAGCCACTTTGGCCATCGCAAGGGGCGGGGCCAAAAAGTATCGCCTGACATACGATCATCATCCTCATTGCCCGTCATTGCCCGCGCAGCGATGCTCGCGAGGTCGCGAGGCGCTTTGCACATCATTTGCAGGGGGACAAAGGGGAGAGAAACAGCTTGCTCCTCACGAGATGCCCGTCATGCCTTGTGAGTTGCTGTCAGGTCCTCGATCACATCATCCTCGAACTGTTATTGTTTCTGGGACCTCGCCGCAGACTCAAGTTAGACCTCGCCATCTCTCGGGGGCTGCGATATGAGGTCCTGGCTTTCGAAATGGCTAGGAGTGCTCAGGGATTGTAACTAATCGGCTTTATCAAGTCCTTGTCCTGTAGCCAGTGTCCTGCGAGTCTCCCGAATTCCGTCTGCAGACATATGTAACCCTCGCTCCGTCATCGCCCCCCTTCATACATTATCCTAAACTATTTGCGCCCCGCGTTTGCGCAGGGGTTGGGTACGTCGCCAGGGCATTTTCAAACTAATGTGCGCGGCGCTAAGGCGCGAACGACATTTTGAAAACCACCTACCCTCAATCCGTGAAGCTCTTGCAAATGTTTGAAACGAATGTGCGCGGCGCGAGGGCGAGAGCCACATTTTGAAAACCACCCGCACTCAGTCTGTAAAGCTCTTGCAACTTGTTTAAAGGAATGAGCGCGGCGCTAGGACGAGAGCCACATTTTCAAAAGGATCCTCCCTCAATCCGTGAAGCGCTCTTACAAGTTTTTCAAACGAATGTGCGCAGCGCTAGGGCGAGAGCCACATTTTGAAAACAACCCGCCCTCAACCCGTGTAAGTCTGGCATATTTTTAACACGAATGTGCGCGGCGCTAGGGCGCGATTGACATTTTGAAATCCACCCGCCCTCAATCCGTGAAGCTCTTGCAAATTTCTAACAGGAATGTGCGCGGCGCTGGGGCGAGAGCCACATTTTGAAAACTACCCGCCCTCACTTTGTGAAACTCTTGTAACATTTTAAAACGAATGTGCGCGGCGCTAGGGCGAGAGCCACACTTTGAGAACCACCCGCCCTCCATCTGCGAAGCTTTTGTCATTACCTAACAGCCTTTGCTGATAGGTTTCTAGTGGGCTCAAAAGAGGCATCATGACTCCTCAGGGGGGTCGGGGCGGGACCCGGACAGGAACCGGGGAGGCATCCGGCGCACCCAATGACTCCCCAGGGGGGTCGGGGCGGCACCCGGATAGCCATCGGGGAGGCATCCGGCGCACCCAAATCGCCTGGGACATCCTCGCAAAATCGCCCGGGGAGGCATCCGGCGCCTCCCAGAACTCCATTCCCATTCCCGGGCCACATTTTGGATGCCCGGGGCCAACTGTAGGCCACTTCGTGTTTTTCGAGTTCCCAGAGTCGTTTCCAGATATGCTTCCAGCGAAGCTTTTACACATGGCTGTTAGGTTGCTTTGCTGGGATAATTTTTAAAAGCTTCAGGGTCATAAGTGGTGGGGAAGTCTCAGGCGAAACGCCCGGCCCGCTCTAAACATTGGCCTCGGGGTGCGACCGGGAGACGTTATTTATAAGGAAAAGGAATGGAGGAGGAGGAGGAAGAGGAGGAGGAGGAGGAGGAGGAGGAGGAGGAGGAGGAGGAGGAGGAAGAGGAGGAGGAGGGAGGTGCTCAAGTCGCGCGCAGCCGTTGCCCGGCCGTGCCCTCCTTCCTCTCCCACTTTGCCCTCTCGCCTTCTTGCCTCCCCCCCCCTCGCCGCGCCATCGCCTGGGCTCCTGCTGGAGCGGGCGCGCTGGCAGGCGGCGGCCGCGGCACTGGAGGCAGCTTCTGGATTCTGGACGGGGTGGCGACCCCCGACCGTATCCTTGCATCCTTGCCTCTGCCTTTCCTGATCCTGGCCCCCTGGGGGCTCCGAGCGAATCGGGATGGCATGGCAGAAAGTCGAAAGGCGCCGCATGGGCCGCAAGGCAGGCGACGCCGAACTGGCCGCGGACCTGCTGCGAAGCCTCTTCGGGGGAGGCGGCCGGCGCGGTGCGAGGCAGCAGCCGGACCCTCCGCCTCGGCGCGCCGAGTGGCGCTGCGGCTGCGGCTCCACGAACTGGGCGGAACGCACGCACTGTCGCAAGTGCGACGCCGCCCGGAGCGGCGCGCCAGCGGCCTGCCCGCCGCCCGCGCCAGCCGCCGCTGGCGAAGCCACGCCCGCGGCTTGGCCAGACCTGCCTGGCGCCCGGCCGCCGCGGCCAGGGGCCCAAGCCGACGCTCTTCGCAAGGCCACGGTGGTCGCTCGCAGGGCTGGTGCGCCGAAGGCTGCCTTGGAGGCGCTGGAGCAAGAGGAAGCCGCCGCCCGCGCGCGCCAGGCGCAGCAGCGCTCTGGCAACCGCCTGGAGGGGCTCCGGGCGGCAGCGCGGAAAGCCGCAGTTGCGGCGACGGCCGCGGACGAGGCGCTGGCGGCCGCGACGCGCCGGGCGGAGGCCGCCCACGCCGCGGCGGCGGCTGCCGAGGCAGCGGCCCGCGAGGAGGAGGCTGCCCAGACGGCGGCTGCCGAGGCAGCGGCCCGCGGCGCAAACGAGGCAGCGCCCGCGCGGGACGCTGGGGCGGAGCAGCTGCTGCTCGCCACGCGCGAACTCTTGGACCGCCTGGAGCTCCACGCGCGCGGGCCCGCGGCGCAGGCTTGGGGCGGCGCTCCCCCACAGCCGCTGCTGGCGGCGATGGCTGCGGCGCACGCCGCCCTGGAAGCAGCGGGGCCCGGACCGGCGCCGCCCGACGACGCGAGGCTGGCGGGCGCCGACACGGACGCAGAGCTCGACGAGGCTTCCGAGGAGGAGGAAGCCCTGGGGCAGCTCGAGGAAGCAAACACCGACGACGCCCTCCTCGCCGCCGCTCGCCGCTTGCGCGGCGCTCGCCGGGGGGCCGCCGGAGGGGCCGCCGCCCCACCTCCTGGGCAGCCGCGCCGCCGCAGCCGCACGCCGGGCCGCTGAGGCGACGCTGCGGCTACGCCGGCCTGCGGGTCGGCGAGGCCAGCAACCCTGGGCCGCCTGGGGGGGCGCCGCTGCTCTGCCCAGGCTGCCGGGGCCCGCTCCGCGCTGCGCGAACCTTGCCTGGAGAGACTTGCGCTGCCTGCTTCGGGAGGGCTGGGCCCGGCGGCTGGCTCCACCACTGCGAAAGCTGCGAGGCGCTCCTCTGCCGCACCTGCGCCGCCGCCGCCGCGCCGCCGCCTGCTGGAGAAGGGGCGCCCGCTGCCGCAGGCGCCGCGCCCGCCGCCGCCCTGGCGCCGCCCGCCGCGCCCGCGGCCGCCGCGCCCGCAGCCGCTGCGCCCGCGGCCGCCGCGGCGCCCGCTGCCGCAGCATTCCCGCTCCGCGACTTGGCCGACCCCTGCTGGGCGGGCTTGGACCAGATTGACCTGCTGGAGGAACTCGCGGAAGACGTCCCCACGCTCCGCTACGTGCCGGGGGGGGCGCGCACCGCGGCAGCCCAGGCCACGGAAGAGGTCTGCAAGGCCGTTCTCGGTGCTGCGGCCGGCAGCCAGCAGGAGGACAGAGCTTGGAAGCTCCTGCTCCTGCGGGAGAGGCTTCTTTTCGCTGCGCCGCTCCGGCTGCGCGGGGGGCGCTCGCGGCGGACGGCCGCGGAGACGATGGACCGCGCCCGGCTTGTGCGAGAGCGCTGCGCGACCTTGCAGCGGGGCGGCTGGGAGGAACTGCTGGCGGAAGCTCGCAGGACGGGCCGGGCACTGGCGAAAGCCCGACGCGAGGGGCGCTGCCCAGACCACGACGCCAGCACCCTGGCCGACGAGGCGCTGCGGAAGGCGCTTGCCGAGGAGTATTCCCGAGCAGCGGCGCTGCTGAGCAGCCCGGGGCTCGCTCCGCTGACGCCAGAGACCGGGCAGCAGCTCCAGGGCCTCCTGCAGCCGAGGGACGCCCCCGCCCTGGCGCCGCCGCCAGCCCGACAGCTCGACGACGCGCCCCTTTCCTACGGGCGGCTGCAGAAGGTCCTCCGGGCGAGCCCCAAGGGGAGCGGGGCCGCTGTCGGCGGCGGCAGGTTCGAGCACTGGCGGGTGGTCCTCTCTGATTCTGGGGCGCTGGGGGCCTTCTGCGGCGTCTGCGACCGCCTGGCTGAGGGGCGAGTCCCCGAGAGCGCCGCCGCTGCCCTGGCTACCTCCAAGCTCACGCCGCTGCGGAAGGGCGAGCGCGGCGTCCGGCCCATCGCGGCGCCGAACATCTTGCGGCGCTTGGTGGGCCGCGCACTGGCAACCGAGCGACGGGACCGCTTGCAAGACGCGCTCGGCAGACAGCAGTTCGCCATCGGAATGGCCGCGGGGACTGAACTGCTGGCGCACTCAGTGCGCGCTCTGCTGGAGAATGCGCCACACCTGGTGGTTACTGCCTTGGACGCGAAGAACGCTTTCTGCACCGCGCGCCGGGCCACTTGCCTGCAGCAGCTGGAGGAGGTGGATCCCTCCCTCCTCCCCTTCGCAGAGCTCTTCTGCAGGCGCCGCTCGCAGTACTTTTTCTGGGACAGCAAGGGGGCCTGCCACCGACTGCACGCCACTGACGGCGTGGACCAAGGGGACCCGCTCGCGCCCCTCCTCTTTGCCTGCGGCCTGCGGCCCTACTTGCGCGCGCTCGAGGAGGACCTGCGCCGCCGGGCTGAGGCGCGCGGGCTTCCGCTGGGCGAAGTTCACGTGTTCGCTTACCTGGACGACCTAGTGGTTCTCGTGCCGCCAGAGCTCGCTGCGGAGGTGCTGCCAGCGGCGCAGGCCGCGCTTGCCCCGCTCGGACTGGAGCTGCAGCCAGGCAAAACGCAGGCTTGGTCACCCCGCGCCCCTTGCCCGCCTGGCCTGGAGGCGCACTGGCAAGAGAGAGGCCTAACGCTGGTTGGAGCCGCGCTCTCCGAGCAGCCACAGCCGCGGGAGCTGCCGCGCCCGGGCGAGGGGCGCCGGGCAGACCTGGGCGCAGCCGACTACGCCACGGAGAGCGCCGAGGACGCCGCGACACGAGCCGCCGGGCTGCTCTCGAAGGTGGCCGAGCTGCCCTCGCTGGCCTCCCCGCACCTGCCCGCGGTGCAGACGGCGGCCCTGCTCTTGCGGCACTGCGGGACTAGCAAACTGACGCACACGCTTCGCGCGACGCCTCCCGAACAGGCGCGCCCGGCGGCGGCGGCCTACGACGCTGCCCTCCTGGCCGCCTACGAAGAGCTCGGGCACCTGGACCCGCTCACGCCACAACAGAAGCAACGCTGCCAGCTCCCGCTGCGCTTGGGCGGCCGCGGCCTTCGCAGCCAGGAGGAGCTGGCCCCGGCGGCCTGGGCGGCCTCCTGGGCGCAGAGCCTGGGCGCCTTGCGGGAGCGGACGGGGCTGGCCTCCCTGGGCGACCTGAACACGAGCCCGCTGCCGCTCGCCGCTGCTTGCCGGAGCAGCCTTGCCGGGCTCGCGGCGCTGCCGCCGCCGCCGCCTCGCTGGGGCGCCGGCCCTGACAGGCTGCCCACTTGGGCCGAGCTCGCCACCGAGCCTCAGAAGAAGCTCCAGAGGACGCTCACTGCAAGGATCGACCAAAAAACTTACACCTCCTTGCTGGGCTCCCTGGACTCGGATGAGGACCGGGCGCTGCTTCGCTCCTGCGGCGGCCCGCACTCCGCGGCCTGGCAGACGGCCTCGCCAGGCGAGCCCCGCCAGCGCTTGGAAGACGCCGCCTACCGCTCAGCGACGCGCTGCCTGCTAGGCCAGGACGCGGCCCCGCCAGGCGCCACCTGCTCAAACTGCACCCGCACAGGGGAGCGGGCTGGCCGGCGCTGCGGCGAACCGCTCTGCGCCAAGGGCCGCCACGCCTGGCGGCGCCCGCGCGGAGGGGGCCTCAAGGCACGCAGCGGCGACTTGGAAGCGGCTTGGGCGCACATCCATGCCGAGTGCGGCTACCAGGTGGCTCGCCAGACGCCAGTGCCCGCCTGGGACCGCTGGCGCTGGCACTGCAGCAGCTGCGCGGCGAGCCGCGCGGCGGCGACCCGGCCGGCAGCGGGCGCGGCTTGCTCCTGCGGCGCCCCGCTCGCAGCCCGGCGCGAGGAAGCCATGCTCGACCTGGAGATTCAGCGGGCTGACTGCCCCCGAGTCTTCTTGGACGTCACCGTGCGGTACGCCGTGCCGGGCGACGCCGAGGGGCTCCAGGCTGCCGCGGCGCGGGACAGCGCCGTCAACAAGGGCGCCGAGGCGGACAAACACGCTCGGTACCCTGCCGGGCGAGCGCCCTGGCGGATGGCGCCGCTCGCCCTCGAAACGGGCGGGCGCCACGGCCCAGCCGCCCTGCGCCACCTGCGCCTGCTTGCGAGGGACCGGGCGCAACTGCTCGCAGGGGGCGACCCCGCTGCCGCCGCTGCCGCGGCCGGCGCCCTCACGCGCCGCTGGGGCGCGGAACTGGCTGTGGCCCTGCAGGCGGCCACCGCGCGCCAGCTGCGCACAGCGCTGGGGGCGGAGGCGGCGCGGCCGCGCGCCCGCGCGGCACTGGCCGCCGAGCTCGCTGCCTGAGCTGGAGGACCTGGGCGACTATCCGGCCGGGGGCCGGGCCTAGCTGCTAGGCCTGACGCCCGGCCGGGAGGTGTATCGCCGTGGTGCACCACCGGTTCGTCGCGCCGCTCGTCGGCGACAGAGCGGGCGCAAGCGCGGCCGCGACCGCGCCTCGCCGCTCGCAGGAGGAGGAGGAGGAGGAGGAGGAGGAGGAGGAGGAGGAGGAGGAGGAGGAGGAGGAGGAGGAGGAGGAGGAGGAGGAGGAGGAGGAGGAGGAGGAGGAGGGAGAGGACGAGGACGAGGACGAGGAGGAGCCGCCCGTCGGCCACGCGCTCTGCTCGCGCTTCAATCTGCGTCCCCTGGCCCGCCCCCAGGCTGCGCACGTGCCCCGGGCCATGAGAGTTACGCCCGCCCTCCCCTCTTGGGCCCCCCCGAGGTGTGCCGGGAAGCTCGGTGCACCATCTCGAGGACAGAGGATCAAGGTCCTTAGAGGGTCCTGGCCCCAGCCATGATCGCGTCCTGACAGAAATCAGGACGGGAGGCTTGTGGCCGTCTTCGGCCTCGGGGGGCCCCCGCCGGGCCTCGGGATCGTCAGAAGACGACTCCGGGTGAAAGGCTGGTCCCAGGGACCCGCATTGAGAAAATTTGGATATCGCATGTCTGGGGCCCTTTTCCCAGCCTCCCCTGAGATCCGGGCGATGCAATTTTTGTCACACTTGGCGTTTTTGCCCAGTTTCGGTCTTCCGGGTCGATCCGGCTCCAAAAATGCCGCGCAAAATTGGGATCGAGGGCCGGGTCGTGATTTCTCGCGATGCTGTATTTTTTCCGCAGCGTCTGATCTCAGGGCCTGGAGTCCTCGAGAAGCCTCCAGATGCGCATGAGGCGCCCCTGGGGACCTCCTGTGAGGCCTGACAGGAAGCTGGATCCACGTGACGCGACTGGCCTGCCCTCCCATCCAACATTGCGAAAAACAATTCAACATTGCAAAAAATCGCGACCAGAGCTCCCATCTTTCTGAGTCATTTTTCGAGCCAGATCGATCTGTGAGGTCCAGGGCCCGACACTGGGCGAACACGCCCGCTGTGAAAAAATTGCCACGCCAAGATCTGAAGGAGTGGTGTGGACGGGCAGAAGGTCGCGCGGCCACATGCCCTTCCAGAGCCTGGCCCCCGGCTACGCGGGCCCTCCGCATGCGCATCCAGCGCCCGGCCTCCGCGCGCCCCGCATGTGAGTCCAGCCGTGTGTGCTGCCAGCCTCGTGGTGCTCGTCCTCCTCCTCTTGGCCCTTGGCACAAGCCCGAGGGCGCCCTGTAGGCTCGCGCTGCCGGCCACGTGAAGCCCAGCCCGCCGCCCGAGTCCCCGCACGGGGGGGGGGCCAGCCGTCGGAGGGTTTCTCCGAAGGGCTTAGGCGACCCGTCCTCCTCCTCCTCTGTCCTCCTCTCCTCCTCTCTCCTCCTCCTCCTCCTCTCCTCCTCCTCCTCCTCCTCCTCCTCCTCCTCCTCCTCCTCCTCCTCCTCCTCCTCCTCCTCCCCCTCCTCCCACTCCCCTCCTCAGGTCGCATACGGCCCCCGGGGGAAACCGTCCACCAGCCGTGAGACTAGCTGGCCAGCGCTTGTACAGTCGAAGTCCATTTGAAGGGCTGCCGGCCGACCGACGCGCGGCGGGCGCATCGCGCTGCGCGGGGCCGCTTCTCTCGGGCGACCTCAACTGCCCATGTCACCGATCCGGGACGGGGCTTATCTGGGGCCCAGGGTCGGTTTCCAGGCCGTCCTGGCTTGGCCATGGAAGCGCGGGCACCGATCCTGAGCCCAGGATGGGCACCGACCAGGATCGGCGAGGTGGTCAGTTGACGTCGCGATCGGTCGACAGATCGATCGATCGATCAAGGACGACGACCAGAAGTCTCGACCCACTCCCCGGCACCCGTTTTTCATCTTGAGTCGTTTTTGCCGGTCCGGGGCCCGGCGAGGGCCCCCGGAGGCCGAAAGCAGCACAAGACCGCCCGACGTGACTTTTCCACGACGCGAGGGGGCGTGGGTCTGGGGGTCGAAAGTCGACCTCTGGACCTTCAGATGCCGAAAACGGAGAAGCACTTGCGTCTTGATGTTCTTAGTACAATGCGCTGGATCTCTGGGAATGCTTAGAGACGCGATGGACGGACGACGACCGATTGATCCATCGACGGCCTGCCTGCCCAGCCGACCGACGCGCGGCCACCGCGTCGGCGGCTCCAGCGCGCGGCGGCGCCGCGCGGGGCCGACGACGACGACCGACGACGACTCACGACGATCGACGTGTCTTCCTCCGCCTCCTCCTCCTCCTGCTCCTCCTCCTCCTTCTCCTCCTCCTCCTACTTCTCCTCCTCCTGCTCCCCCATCTTCTTCTTATTCCTCCTCCTCCTCCTCCTCCGCCTCCTCCTCCTCCTCTTCCTATATTCCCCCTCCTCGACCTGCTCTCCCTCCTGCTCCCCCTCCTCCTCCTCCTGCTCCTCCTTCTTCTCCCCTCCTCCTCCTCCTCCTCCTCCTCCTCCTCCTCCTCCTCCTCCTCCTCCTCCTCCTCCTCCTCTTCCAGCCCCTGGGCTCGAGAGATTTGAGCAAACGGGGCCCGAGACCGAATTCAGAAGATGATACCCAGGCGCCTCGGCCGCGCGGCCGTCTCTAAGAGGACGGGGCGGCCACCGACATGGCGAAGGTGAGGGTGCTCGGCTGGAACCCTATGTGGGCCGTGGGTGACCGCCTCCAGGAAGTCACCGACTGCACGCGTAACATGGATTTCGCGCTGCTGGCTGGCACCCAGAGCGCCTGCTGTGAGGCTCATCGTGTCCTCCAGCGGCGGATCGGTGGTCGACTGATTCTTGAGCTATTATTCTCGGACGTGGCTTTCGCGACCATCACGTTCGGAGAGCATTCCCGAGCCCACCTGACCTGGGAGGCCGACGTCTGGCCGCCCGAGTTCGCTAGGGCGTTTTCGACGTGTGCGTAGGCGTGCCCTACTTTCCCCCTCAACCCCGCAGCCGTGGGGCTGGCCCGAGGTACTCTCAGACGGTCGCCAAGATGATTGCATGGTGGCGGTGCCTGTTGTTGATGCCAACTCGGTGCGTGCCAATCTTCTACGCTGACCTCAATGACGGTATCGGCTGCAGGAAGATCGACGCGAGCTAGCAGGAGTACCAGAGTGAACTTGTGGGAAGTGTGCGCACGCGGACCTTCTTTCGTTGCATCATCTTATGGCCGCCAACACCTTCGGTAAATACGAAGCCACCTCCTATGGGAAGGGCCCAGAGGGGCCAAGCAGTTTGATCGACTTCATATTCTTTCCTCAGGGCTGGGCGTCGCATATCACACTCTGCAACACACTACGGCGTATCGGTGCCCAGCTCCAGGCTCAACGAGGAGGACCTCCGCGAGATCATGGACCTGTGTACTTGGAGTTTCTTCACCCGCGAGGACCTCTGGACTGTGATACGGACCAGGCGCCGCCCACATGGGACATGACGGCCCTGCCCGGGGCAATTAAGAGGGGCGGCCGTCGCTTGGACTTCGTGGAGGGCGTCGGCAAGTGGCTGGAGGACCATTTCGACGAGCGGCTCCAGGCCCGCGACCAGGACGCGCCTGACCACACCTTCGAGCTTCTGGAGCAGTGCTTGGTCGATGTGGGCAGCGAGTTTTTCACCGAGCCGTCGGACCTCCCAGATGAATATGCGCACTGGGCTCAACTTCGGCGAGACCTCCTAAAAACAACGAGTTGAAGTACGTGCCACTCGGGTGGACGCCGCTGACTTGGAGGCAGTCGAGCAAGAGTTGAAGGACCTCTCCCACAGGCTGCGCCTCCTTCGTCGGAAGCATCTTCGGGCTGTTCGTGAGTCGTACGTCCAGGCGTCTTTCGAGGCTTGGGCCAGGCGCAACATGTGCGAAGCAATGGAATGGGCTCGGAGGGCAGCTAGGTGCAGGTTCTCAGCAAAAAACTGCATGGCAGAAGATTCGGAGCAGCTCCCATCACCAGTTCAGCATGGCTCGACGTTTGGTCGCGGCCTGGGGGGGGAGCGGCGGGATGGAAGTTCAGCAGAGCAACTTAGGCGAGTGGTGAGCACGGCCATTGACATGAGCCAGATATACGTCAACGCTCGATATGATGACCGGCCCGAACAGCTAGGATATTCTGACATCGGTCGACTTCGCCGCTTTGTTCGCCGAGCCACGAAGCGTAGAGTGGTCCCTGACGGCGCGGCTCCCCTGGAGCTCTGGTGGCAGATGCTACGTCCTGTTCGAGGCATGCATCGTCAGCGCCCTGGTCTGGGAGCACCTAGAGCCCCCGAGGGGCCCGCCCTGTTCTTAGGGGCTCTCCTGGGCGGGATGAAGAAGATTCGAATAACAGATGTAGTGCCGCTGCACTGGAATGTGTCTCGGGGACGTGCGTTGCTCAAATCGGTTCAGCCTGGGCCGCGAGGAAAGCGCGTTGCCCATGTGGTGCCAGTCGTAGGCAAAGCCTTTTTTCGACGATTTCTTGCCCAACGAGCTGGCCCCCGACGATTATGGTTCCTAGAAGCATCGGAGAAGGGAAGGGGCCCTTTTGGCTTCCCAGGTGGTGGGTTGGAGATTACGGAAGGCAGGGTGGAGTTCCGGAGCCAGCTTGGAAGATGTGAGCAACGCCTTCGGTAGCACGAGTTGGGAAGCTTTGGGCAATTCTATGTCTACGCTAGTCCAGCCTGGCCACGTTGCCATGTGTGAGCATAGGTATCGGGCCACGGACGTTTTACGACCAACTGATGGGGGAGAGTTAGCGGTAAAGACGGGAGTGGGAGGAGCGATGGGGGGCCCGTTCGTGGTGGCTGCTTTTTCGACGACGTTCTGTCGCCCAGTGGCAAGGTGGACTCATGCCTTGAGGGAAGTGGACCTTGCCCTTGCCCTTGCGCGCGCTGAACGGGGCGGCCAAGAGGTCGACCTCAGTCTGTTCAAGTACGCGGACGATTTGTACCGCTACACTCTCATAATTCTTGGGGACCCCATGGGATCCTTCTTGGCCGCGTTAAAGCACTCCGACGATATTCTCGACTCCCTCCCCCAGGAATATGGGTGCAAGCAAAATCGGGGGAAGCAGGGGCTGGTCGTCTGGATCGAGGGGGGGGGGGCATGATGTGTAGAAGATGGCTTCGCGGGCCTTGGCGGGCCCTCCTCTCGGGAGCTCCAAAAGAAGAGTTTCGATATCTTGGACCTCATGTTTCCATGTCCCAGGCATCCAGTTGGGAGGTAACCCGTCGGCATCAGGCCGTGCGTGCCGCCTTCTTCTCCATGGGGGGCTTCTGGTCTCTCGCAGTCTCCCATGGAAGCTTGCGCACTCTATTTTTATGTCCTTGGTTCAGAACTCAGCTCTTCGTGGATTGGAGGCGTTTCTGCTTGCGAAGAAGCAGCGCGCTAGCTTGGGCGCCGCAGCGGCGCGCTATGCTCGCGCAGCCATGCGCGGGCGTGCCAGCTGGAAGACGGAGGCTGGAGCGACTCGCACGTTTGCGTCAAAAGGTTTTCTGCAGCGCTTGCGCATATGTGAAACGTGCGTTGAGCCCGGCATTCGGCGGTTGAGTCGGTGCGAGGCGTGGGCCCGCTTTCCCTCCAGCCACTTGCAGTTGCTCTCGGCCCTCTTCGGTTCGGTGCCCTTCGAGTCGCAGGCGGCGCCTATGGTGGATGGGGGCTCTTGCTTAAAGGCTTCCCCGCGGGCTCGCCGCGTCGCTGGAGGTTTCGAGTAGGCGCGAGGACTCTCGCGCGATCATGGGGATACGTTGGGTTCTCTCGCTGCTCGCCCTGGACTCATGTGGGGCCCCGAGTTCCAGGGTGAGTTCGATCAGACCGATTGTGCTGAGATGCGTTCTTGCTTATTTGGTTTTCAAGTGGCGCCCCGTAGGGGACAGGGGCTAACCCCGAAGTTATGGCGGATCCTGAGGAGCCTCAGTTTGTTTGCCAAGTTGAAAGGTGCGGGAAACGACGGCTTATTAGGAAAAAGGGGCTCATGGCCCATCTGCGTTCACGGCGTGACTGTCGATCACTACGTCGCATCCCGACTCCAACAACTACGCGCATGTTGCCGGGGGGCATTCTGGGGCAAGGCACGTGCAGCAAGGCATGTATTTCTAGCTGTACTGCGGGGGCATTGTCGATTCGGTGGTGGTGGTGGTGGTGGTGGGGGGGGGGGTAGGGCGTTGCGACCTCTGGGGCCTCCATTGACGTTGGCGTGTCCCCTGCGCGAGTTCGAGGCTGTTGATCTAGACGATTTATGTCATCGCTCACGCAGCCATTTGCCTGGCCCAGTTCTTCCGAGGCAGCGGGCGCGGGCGCCCGGCACTCCGAGCTGGGGCATCGGCGGCGGCGTCGGCGTCTGCGACGGGACAGATAGTGCAGGCGGCTTCCTGGATGCAAGATATTTCGGCCCCTGCGATGCGCGGTGCAGATGGGGCCCCAGAATCGGCACCGCCGCCAAAGGACCCGAAGAAGGAAGGACAGCGCAAGGCGAAGAAGGGGGACATGTACGAAGCGCTGGTCAACGCGGTGGCAAAGTTGCGCCTCAGCGACGGCTGCGAGCTGGCGAACCTAGCAGGCGTGGTGTTTCAGACATGGGAGCTAGAGGAAGAAGACAAGGGCGTCGCCCAGGTCATGATCGACGCAGGCACAAAGTACAACGCCGTCTCAAAGTGCCCCAGGGGGCGCCAAATGAACGGCGATAGGATCTACTATCGCAAGAGGACCGCCACATGCGCAGCTGTGGGCAGCGGTGCCCCTCCACCTCGTCAACTGCATGGACGCGTTTCTCGATGGCAGCGACGGGTGCAAAGGAAACGAGAAGAAGGTGCTCTATCAGTACTTCCAGCAGCACATCAATGCGAAGACCCCGCAGCAGGTGGCCAAGCGTGCGCTGCGCTTCAGGCATCGCAAGCACAAGCACGCGATCAAGCAGGCTCGCGAGGAGGACAACGACGAGGCGCCGAAGGGCCGCCTGACGTTCGCGTTCTCGCACGACGAGCCAGGTCGCGAGGCGAGGTCGTTGCTGATCCAGTTCCTGAACAGCGCGGAGGTATCCAAGGTGGCGCAGCTCATGGGGCCTGCCCCTCGTGGGCCCTTGGAGAGGGAGGCGGCGAGCCTCCTCGCCCTGATCGACAAGGGCAAGAGCGATTGAGCCAGCGGCGCGTGGATGCATCCCGAGAGAGAGAGAGAGAGAGAGAGAGAGAAACAAAACAAGAAAGAGAGAGAGAGAGAGAGAGAGAGAAAGAAAGAAAGATAAATAAACAAACAGAGCAAGAGAAAGAAGCCTCTCGCGCTCGAGAGAAGGAGTGCGGGCCAGAAAAAACCGGAGCATGGGTGATTTTGTAGGCAGTGAACGCTTCGCGTCTCCAGTGGCCCGAGGGGCCATTTCCGACCCTTTCCAGGCCACGAGTTTTGATACTTATTCGAATCGCGATCTCCTCCGATCCCTTCGAAACAAGCTCCGCGCAAGGGGGCGGCCCAGAGGGCAAAACGCGGTTGGTCCAGTCTATAGTCGGTCCCCCAGAAGGCTCCTCTCACATGCCTGCGCGGCGCTCGGTGCTCGCCGTCGTTCCGGGGCGGTGCTGGCCTTGCCAGAGGGGGTTCCCCTGCCCCTTTTTTAAGGTTGACCCGCTCACCCTCGAAGTCGGGTCGCGCAGGGTCCGTTGCCAGTTTTATGGTATGAGGTTCGAGTAATTTATTTGGATTCCCCGCGCATTGCTCATTGCTCATTGCTCATTGCTCCTCCTCCTCCTCCTCCTCCTCCTCCTCCTCCTCCTATTCCTCCTCTTCCTCCTTCTCCTCCCCATCCTCCTCCATTCTTTTCCTTATATATATCCCTGTCGCACCTCGAGGCAAGTTTTTAGGGCGGGCCGGGCGTATCGCCTGAGACTTCTTCACCATATATGATTCTGTAGCTTAAGAGTTGGCAACCGTTTCGTAGATGAAGGTCGGGCCGTTTTCAAAATCTGGCTATCGCCTTAGCGCGGCGCACATTCGCATGCGACGTGTTCAAGAGTTTCACTGATTGATGGCGGGTGGTTTTCAACATGTGGCTCTCGCCTGAGCGCGGCGCACATTCGTTTTAAACATGTGCAAGGGCTTCACGGATTGAGGGCGGGTGGTTTTCAACATGTGGCTTTCGCTTTAGCGCCGCGCACATTCGTTTTAAGCATGTGCAAGAGCTTCTCGGATTGAGGGCGGGTGGTTTGCAAACGGTGGTTCTCGCCGTAGCGCGGCGCACGCACATTCGTTTTAAACATGTACAAGAGTTTCACGGATGGATGGCGGATGGTTTGCAAATTGTGGCTCTCGCCTGAGCGCGGCGCACATTCGTTTACACCATTTTCAAGAGTTTCACGGGTTTCCATCTTCAGCGTACCACAAATGGTGTTTTGGAAGGATCCATGATTATACGGGTGCAACAGTTACGTTGGTTCTCTGTGTTGAAGTCACAGGAATGGCGTTATGGCACAATTCAGGATAGTCAAGGCGCAACCTTCAAGTTGATCCGTGGCGTGGGAATCCCGAAAACAATGTTTTGGCATGCTTCAGGGGTGTCCAAACGGGTGCCTTCCAACGAGGCCGTTCCATCAATGGCAGTGAACCGTTGTAGGGGCCCGTGAGGAGGGAGCTTGGAGGAAGGGTTTACTCCAACATCGTTCATGATTCTTGGGTTTACGCTGGACCTCCTGTTTTTCCTCCTCCTCCTCCTCCTCCTCCTCCTCCTCTTCCTCCTCCTCCTACTCCTCCCCCTCCCCCTCCTCCTCCTCTTTCTCATCCTCCTCCTCCTCCTCGTCCTCCTGCTCCCCCTCCTCCTCGTGTTCCTCCTTCTCCTTCTCCTTCTCCTCCTCCTTTTCCCGCTTCTCCTCCTCGTCCTGCCTGCCCTCCTCCTCCTCCTCCTCCTCCTCCTCCTCCTCCTCATTATCCTTCTCCTCCTCCTCCTCCTCCTCCTTTTCCTCCTTCTCTTCCTCCTCCTTTCCTCCTCCTCCTCCCCTCTTCCTCCTCCTCCTCCTGCTCTCCTGCTCCTCCTCCTCCCCTCTTCCTCCTCCTCCTCCTTCTCATCCTCCTCTCCGCCCCCCTCCAGTCTCCTCCTCCTCCTCCTCCTCCTCCTCCTCCTCCTCCTCCTCCTCCTCTTCCTCCTCCTCCTCCCCCTCCTCCTCCTCCTCTTCTCCTTCTCCTCTCCTTCCTCCCTCCACCTCCTCCTCCTCGTCCCTCCTCCTCCTCCTCATCCTCCTCCCGCCCCCTCCCTGCCTTCTCCTTCGTCGTCCTCCTCCTCCTCCTCCTTCAAACTCAGCCTCCTCCTCCTCCTCCTTCTCCTCCTCCTCATATTCCTCCTCCTCCTCCTCTTCCTCCTCCTCCTCCTCATTCTCAATCATCATCATCAGCAGCTCATCATCAAAACTCATCATCATCATCTCATCATCAGCATCATCATCATCATCATCATCATCATCATCATCATCATCATCATCATCATCATCACCATCATCACCATCATCACCATCATCATCATCATCATCATCATCATCATCACCATCATCATCATCATCATCATCATCATCATCAGCATCATCATCAGCAGCAGCATCATCATCATCAACATCCTCATCATCATCAGCATCATCATCATCATCATCATCATCATCATCATCAACATCGTCAGCATCAGCATAGTCGTCATCGTCATCATCAGCAGCAGCATCATCATCAGCATCATCATCATCATCGTCATCATCATCACCACCATAATCATCATCATCATCATCACCATCACCATCATCATCATCATTATCCTCCTCCTCCCGCTCTTGTTCCTCCTCCTCCTCCTCCTCCGTCTCCTCCTCCTCCTCCTCCTCCTCATCATCATCACCATCCCTCCTCCTCCTCCT